TCATTTCCCAACATGGGAAACCTGACAAAGATGCAAGCACTGCACAGACAATCACTTCTCACATGTCTACAGCTGGAAATGTAAAGCCCATCTTTGCCTGAACAAAGACAGAAACTGTTTTTTTGCCTACCACAGGGCAAAATAAAAGGTAAAAGGACTTATATACTGTATGCAGGAAGTACTTCTACAGTGGTCATGTGCATTGCTCTTCTGTTTGAAATATCTCAAAATGAATAACTTGATACGAGTAATTTTAGGCTTGTTATGGCATGTACTATTCTGTTCAGTAATGTTTTCTTCTCAACATTAACGAAAGTATGCATAGCTTCTGGAGCAATTTAAATGGGGTATAATGTTTCTTTGAATGCATAGTTCCTACAGTAAGTTTACAGGATAAGTTTACATGAACAGCTTTATGGCTTGCTGCAGAATACTGTAGCATTTTTCACATTAAGCGTACCACAAATGTTGAAAATGTAATTTTTTCTTTTGCTGTTCTTTGCTCCTACCTCAAGGCAAAATAAAAAGGTTGTAAAGGGTTTCTCTTTGAAAAAAACAGAACCAGAACAATTGAAATGTTCCAAATGCAATGAGCAATATTTGATTTTGTTTCTAAAATAAACATTGTTGTGGTCAATAAATTACCATTAATTCCTGATGAATCAAATATGATACAAAACAAAATATCATATATGCAAATGATTTCGTAACATTTCTTTTTTTGATTTTGTCAAAAGGTCCAATGAAGACTTCAATTTTAAAAAAAAAATAGAATTTTTTGACTATTATTTCATGTGTCAGGCTTCACAGGGTTAATGATCTGAATACTTCTTCCACCACTGTTGAAGATCAAACAAAAATCTCCAGAACTCAATCTGCTATGAAATCATGACAAACACACAAATGAAAAATGTGTTTCCTTGAAGCTAATACAAGTTTAGTGACTTCATGTTATCATTACACACTTGTCTCCTGAAATGCCTTTTTTGAGTCTGCAGATGTTGGCGATGCATGTTATTAACAATGTGATTTTGTTTTCCGTTTTAAATGAGAGGAATAGTAAACACTTGAGCTCATGGCCTCTATTGTTAAATCTCTATTTCTCCATCTTAATTGTTCATATAATAGATTTTAAAGAGCTGGTGCTATAATGTAAATTCTACCACAACATGACTTGAATGTACAAATCATTTAGAGGAAACAGCTAATGGTGATAGAACTGCACACACTGAAANCTCCGTTTTAAATGAGAGGAGGAGTGAACACTTGAGCTCATGGCCTCTATTGTTAAATCTCTATTTCTCCATCTTAATTGTTCAATAGATTTTAAAGAGCTGTTGCTATAATGTAAAGTCTACCACAACATGACTTGAATGTACAAATCATTTAGAGGAAACAGCTAATGGTGATAGAACTGCACACACTGAAACAGCATTTAGCAGCTACTGCAGACAGCTGGAAAAACAACTTCCAAATGAACAGTGCAGCTCTTACTTTTACATGTGTGTCGTAATTTCCCCCAAGTCAGTTTTATTTTCCTTAATCTTACTACCACTTTCTAATGAGGTAGCCTAACTTTTATTAATGGGTTATAGTGTGTAATGAATGGTTTTATATAATGCTGCCCAATATTTCACTAGGACTTTACAGATGAGTTCATTAATCAGAACCACTTTTGGGTTGCCGAGGATTGTGAAGGTGGATAAACACCAGCTGTGGGGATTTTTTTTTACCCTTGGGAAACTATGAGTAACTTAAAACAGAACTTTAGAGCATTAGTAAACAATGTATAAAAACTTTATAAAAGTTTATAAGTTTTAAAATCATACTTATCATGTAGCCTATCTACTTTTAAAGACCCTACTTCATTTGTTTGTGTTAAGCACTCTGAGTTTCACTATGAAAAATAAATGTTTCCTTGTCTTAAGTCTTTAGACATCTGAGCTAATTCTCTTCCTCTCCGCACTGCATTAGAGCAAAATCACTGAAGATTAGTGGAGAGCATTTTGCACATGGTGTGGACAAAAAACAAATGCAGGGGGGGGGGGGTGCAACAAGCTGTAGAGGCGATGGAAGGAGAATGCACACGTGCAGAAGGTCAATCGTGTGCTCGGGGCTCTCCCTCTTCCTCGTGCCACTAAGGATAAAAAGCTCATTTCACTCAAGCACTTACAGACATTCCCCTCGACAACCGTCACGATGCTGCAGCTGCTGACATTCCTGGTGGAGAAGCTCTCCCTCCTCTCCAGCCTGAAACTTTTTGAGCCCAGCTGGTTGGACGGTGAGGACCAGGAGCCCCCCGCTCAGCGCGGACCGCCACCGCCCCCCCGCAGAGGAGACCTGCTTGAGGTCCCAAGAACCATTTTCACCCACTTCGGTATTTACCTAGGTGACAATAAAGTAGCTCACCTGATCCCTGACATCCTCCCTGTTCTTACAAACGACAAGAAGCTCATCAGCTCTGTCATAACGAACAAGAGACTCATCCTCGGCTGCCTCTACAAGTGCGCCACGGTGCGCGTGGACACGCTGGAGGATTTTGCTTATGGCTCCAACATCCTGGTTAACCGCATGGATAAGATGATGAAGGCACAAGCGTTTCCCAATGAAGATGTCGCCCAGAGAGCCGAAAAACAGATCGGAGGGATCCCATACAGTCTGCTGTGGAATAACTGTGAACACTTTGTGACATACTGCAGATATGGACATGCAGCAAGCCGCCAAACAGAGAAGGTATTAAGCCCAACACTCTCTATTTGAATAAGCACAGAATTAAATGTTGCTCAGGTTATTGATCATGGCATAATATCCCTTAGGCTGTATACAGGTTTATCTTAGTGCATCATAAAGGTAAACATTACACAAGGTTTATTTCATATGTTGGAGTGCATCATCACTGTCTCTTTGTAGTTAGTTCAAACATGGCTGGATTAACAATTTTGAAGGCAGGTGGGCCAAAATTTGTTGTTGGGCCCCCCTCCCAACCTCAGTGCTTTGCTCAAGGATCCTGACAAATCCAACTTCCCATTAAATACAGGGCACACAAAGACCCAAACAACAAAACTAAACTAAACAAAGCAAACAAAAACTCAAATACGACTCGTGCAGTTTGAATTACATTCATTATAATATTTAGGAATATGCACAGTGGGAACATGGTATAAAGAAAAATAAGGTCTTCAAACTAGAGTCTGACACAGGACCTCTCTACAAGACAGGTCCACAAGTTTAAGTGAGGGTTTCAATTAGACCCACCCATATCCTGAGGCATCCTGTCCTGTCATCAGTTTACTCAGTAGATGAGAGTATAAACAAAACACCAGCATCATTAAATGTATTACATCTGCTGTGTGAAATGATGCAACAGCTTGTTTTTCCATAAGCTTAATGTATTTTCTGATGTTAGCAAAGCACCTCTGCAATAAAGCGCTGCAAGAAGGCTTGTAAATACAGGGACTACCCAGAGTTCATATTGTACTTATGTGGTGCACATTCCAAAACAAAACTGCAAATCTGATATAAAAAAAACTGCCCAACAGTCAGTGAACTGGGTTTAACCTTGCACACTGATTTACAACAGCAGTTTAACTGCTGGAGCCATGGTTGATGAGTTTTACAAACACTTTCCAGGTGATGGCAAAGCCGAAACTTTGTGCAGCAGCCAGGAAAGATGTGCAGTAACTAACTTTGTTTCTTTCCTTTGTAGTTCTGTGAGTGTCTGAAATCAATCATCAGAGACCAGCGCAGCGTCATTGTTACAGGACTGCTTGGAATTATCTCCATGGTCTGTTTTGGTATGGCAGCTTCAACTACATTACCCACAATTCTTATCCCCTTCACTCTGTGGATGGCTGGTTAAAAAGGGGCTCAGCGCAAAGAATGTGCAAATGAACTGAACTGAACTTTTTACTTGGCAAAGAAGACTGACTGGGAACCTCTTCCAATCACTGGACTCTTCTTATGTGATGCCTTATAAATCTGCTCTACAACAATATACTTTCATTTTATTGTGTAGGCAATGCTGAATGTTTTGTGCGTTAATAGTTTCCTGCACAGCTTATGCTTGTCCTCTCACCAAGTGTGGTGAGGTACATTAAATCTCTGATACAAGACTACAGTTAGTGATTCATCTTGCTAACATTTGAGTCACCACAACAGTGAATACACAGAGTACATGAACTGTAACAATATCTTGAGCATCATAATGTACATAGAGGAGATTTTATAATAATGTACTTAATATAGTGATGTAAATAGGAAAAAATGTTTAATAAAAAAATGTATTTTTATTTGTGTGCCTTGTGTGTGAGTGTGACTCTCCCAACATGCCAGTGGAAGCAGAGCCTTAAATTAGCCTTAATAACGGCAGATACTCTATGCCATGCTGTATGGTGGTTATGGGTGAAACTGTGTTGTGAAACTGGTAAAACAGAAAATACAGCATGTGTGTAAATGTGCAGTATAGATGCACTGCAAAGAATGCTTAGGAATAAAAATTTCAACCAATCACATTGAAGCAGCGTCATCAAACTACCTGAATCTTTTCATGCTGGATATAAATCTATAGCTGTGACTATGTGTTAGGTTGAATTCAGATAATTCGACATTAAATTTCACATATGTTTCTAAAACTGTTTGAGATTTTTTCTTAATGTTCAAGAAAGTGCTGAATAAGGATGAGACACATTTAATCTAGTCTATAAATAACAAAGGCTGTTTGTGTACGATCACTCAATTTCTGTGACCTTTAAATGAGGATTTAACTTGTTGCCAATTAAGCCTTCTTAATGAGGACCCTTGACCTTAATTCACCACAATAAGGCCCGAGTTTCAAAGTCTGAACTGCACAACAAAGTGATTAGAGAAAGCTGCTTTGTTTCTGTCAAAATCAAGCAAACGTTGACCAATACCTAATCCTACTAACTGCAATGGCCCCGCCCTCCCAATTCCAACATAAATGAAATGCTCAGGTGTTGGACACTTTGCTGCACACTGCCATCATGTTTCTCTACCAACTGATCAACTTCTTCTTCGCAGCTTCCAAAAAGGAGGAGGACTCGAAATATGACCTTTCCCTTTATAAGCGCGGTGATCTATTAGAAGTCCCCAGGACACTGTTCACCCATTTTGGTATCTACCTTGGCGACAACCGTGTGGCCCATCTCATTCCGGACATCCTGCCTGCGATCTCCAAGAATAAATCTGCAATTGCCAAGATGGTAACAAATAACCGGTTGCTGCTTGGGGTTATCTCGAAGGTTGCCAGCGTCAGAGTGGACTCTGTGGCGGATTTCGCTTATGGCTCAGAGATTCTGATCAACCACATGGACAAAGTGTGCAGCCAGCCTGCGTTGGATGGGGATGAGGTGGCTCGAAGGGCTGAGAAACTCCTGGGCTCCGTCACCTACAGTTTACTGTGGTACAACTGTGAACACTACGTTATGTACTGCAGATATGGCATGGCTATCAGCTACCAGACATACCAGGTAGAGTCTCTGGGTTCCAGTTAGTAGAGATATTAAATGTTAGTTTTACATTTTTTATGTCGGTCTGTCTTAAAGCAATACTTGACTTGCTGAGTGATGGAAGGACAGTAACACAAAGAGGGAAGGAATACTGTACTACAAAGTGAGTAACTTTGGCAGATATCTATTTTATCTGACCAAGTTAGACCGTTCTACCCTCATATTAACTTCACCTGAACTTTGAAATACAGTTTTGCATGCATGCATAGATTTAGTTCTACTCCACTGACATCTTCACAGCCAGTGTAGACAGGAGGAATAATTACAGTGACCAATAACTACCTTAATGTCCGTAAAAACATGTGAGTGTTGATTTAAGACAGATTTGAAAGTGTGGTGTGCTGTGGGGTTTACAAATTGCTCTCTGGTAAAAAACATCAGGGATTATTTTGAAATATTCTGTGTAAAAACATATTTTTTATGTCATGGTTTATCAGCTTTACTTTCAATGGTTATTACTAAGCAATGATTAACACGGTAATCCTTAATTCTTTGATTCTAATCTTCAACTCCTGGAGAATATTGCATTGCTAAGGTCACATGCAAAGACACAGGTTATTGCACGTGTGGCATTTGAAAAGCCCTTTATATCCAAGGGGTTTAGTGATAAACAGATTATTGGACAATTTGCGTAGTCACACTCAGTGTAAAGCAATGTTAATCCAAATGTACTTATGAAGGTGTGTGACTGAAAAAATTCGGACTTCTTCTTTCATTGTTTCGTATGTGGTCATACAAGGATGTTTTGACTGCAGAGGGCTGCTTGCTTCTTGCTTCCGTCCACTGCAGTGAACATTAACGTCACTTATTCATGAGGCAAGCAGCTCCATCTAGTGTTGCTTTACGTCCAATTTACTATCATCCTGGAGTTAATGGAGACTTCCTGTGACAATAGACCGTCACTGCTCTACTAATTTATCATCGGCTTTGCCCTCAATCTAATTCTAATTCTCACACCCTTTCCTCCAGTTCTGCACAACGGTTAGGAAGATCGTCTGCAGCAGGTTGACTGCCTATCTGACTGCGCTATGCGGTGTAGGAACCATGCTGTATCTGGGCTGCGTGACGCCGCTGATGGTTTTACCAACACTGCTCATCTCATTCACCATCTGGATGGCAGCCTAAAGGCCTCATGAGTAAAGACTCAAGTAACAAACTGGTGGACAGTGAAATTACGCCCTGTGTATTAGCTGGGTGACTAAAGGTACTGGGAAACAAATGTGTTCACAGTGATGAAATGTCATAAGTGCATGAGTTACACACATTTAGTTTGACCTGTTGTTGATTTTTTTTATTTTTATTTAAAGATGTTTTATCTTTCTGTGCCTTGATGGGATTTTCTTCTTGATGCTGTTATAAAACCCCTTTTTTTCTGTTAGATGTCTAATTTTGTCTGTTATTCATCATTAATGTTCACCAGACTCTGATATTCAACATCAATCTCATTCAACAGCAGCAGCTCATGGTTTATAAATGACCTCTGACTCAGCACAGTGGCAAACTCCTGAGGGTTGAGATAAAGCTCGACGAAGACTTTACCTATGATATATATTAGCCTATAGTGATGATATATGTATACTGTATGTAGCCTAAAGCTTATAGGAATGTCACAACTTGTATATACCTTAGGATCATTTAAAAAGTCATCAGTGTGATACTACACTCACATCATGCTGTAGCTTAAACGTTGGCTTGGACAAAGTGCAATAAGCTTCTTATGTAATATTTCTTTGATGGATCATATTGGCAATTGTTATATATGTTGTTGTCAGTCCATTAAACATGTATTTCTACCTGCTTCCGGTTTTGTTTCTTTCCCTTTTTTCACATCCTCTCTTTTTACGTTCTGTGACTCGATATCACCCAATGGAAAAACATTTATTTAAGATACATTAAAGGTCCATGGGAACGTACCATTGACTACAGGCTTGGGAAAAAAATAGCCGCAAAATATTTCAATTTGAGTGAAATGTTTTGCTCAATACTGCAGAGAATGTGGTCAACTGTCTGTCATTGTAACTACAACAAGAATAGCATTATGCACTGGGCAACGTTCATAAACCTTTTTTTAGCATTTCCCCTGAGAATTCATAGGAAGCAAACAAAACAATCACCCAAACAGACTGATTGAATACGGGAGACACTTAACGGTGATAGAGAAGTATTATTTAAAGCAACTCTGAATTTCACTGATTCATAATTTCAAGAATCTGAGGGTCTGAGTGGTAAATCAATAAATCTTTATTATAGTTTGATGGTGGTGTATCTATCTGTGCCCACAAAGCTATTAAGATTATGTAACTCCATAAAAGGAATGAAATGGACTTCAAACTGATGTAAAACATCTGGGTTTTCTAAATAATCTTTTAAGTATTTGAAAAAGTCAGAGGATCCTTGTTGTCAACCAAGTGCAAAGGGGGAAAGCAGGCAAGCGAAAAGTCCAAAAACAGAAAGGAACGGGGTCATAACTGAACAGGCAGGACCAAGAAAACTACAGGACTAGCTTGCTACAGCTTGAGTCCAGGTATATGTGCTGAGGAGCTGATGAGAGAATGGGGATCAGGTGGGTGGGTGGGTGGATGGATGTGGAAGTCAGTTGATGTGGAAATCTGGGTACAACTAGTGGACAGGGAAGGAGGAATTTGCAGGAGATTATTAACGGGCAACAGAGCAAAAAAGTGTGCAAAATGTTACAGACTGTCGACATGAAATCCTGTACTTGTCTCTGAAGTGGATTCTACCTACTTTCCATTTATCAGTTCCAGGACATGGTGCCAAAAAAATTTGGAGCTAAAAATCTTTGTTTGATGAACTCTGTATACATTAGATACTGTAATATTAGGACATAAAGGTGACATACTGTAATCCTGGTTCTATTAGCACAGGCTAAGGCTGAGCACAGGGCTGCCAGATGTAAATTGCACATACTATCTTTTTCTACCTCTTGATTTCAGTGACGATGTCGAAAACAAAGCACAACAAATCTAAAACCTTGTAATGGAGTAAAATAATCAGCCAAACCTTTCGCATTTCATTTGTTGCTACGCAGAATTGATACAATGTTGTGCAAATAATAAGATACCATAGAACGTACCAGATAAAGATACCATTTGAAAAAATACAAAACTATTTTCCTGTTAGAACTATCATGACATGATGTGAATGCAAAACCAAACCTGGACTCAGAATCATCGAGCTGGAGTCAGTGGATGGCCAGAGAAACATCAAGGCAGCTGTTCACATCTGATGCCAGAGACAGGAGGTACAGGAGTTATCACGTCATCAATTTTCCATAATTACAGTAACTGAGCCACATCCATAACAACTAAGTAAATAGACCTTGAGTTAAGATTATTTTGTCTTTTACTATTTCCAAGGTCATGTATGAACATTGTGCTTTACACATAAAATGATATTGTACTATCAGATACTCCTCACCCCGATGGATGATGTTAGAGATATTTTCCATCAAACTCTCATATACCTGCTGGATGTCCGGGATGGCAAGATGTAAAAAGTCAAAAAGGTCAAACTGTAAAAACGTATCTCTGCTTTGAACCTGAGTGATACAGGTAAAGACTGGTGTCAATTAAGGATAATTGCCTTGCCATTACACTAAGCACTTTGTCCTGCAGAGAAACGTATGTATTGATTTAACAGAGGCTGATGTAATGGGCACAAGTTCTATTAAGCGGAGTGCAGCGGGACTCACTGAGGGAAATCTGATTTCATTTCTATATTTCCATATGGTGTGAAAGGTCTCCCTTATTTAGCTACCAATAAATATGTCAAACATGGATCACATGGGGGCTTCCAAAATCAAGGAAGAAGAGAATGGGATGAATCTATAGGAGCACAAACAAACATCCTGTCTCTGTAGGATAAAGGACTTGCTCTAAGCATAAACATACCAACAATATCCAACATTCATAAGAATCATTACAGGGAGAAATGGCTATCACTGTTCTCTTAGTGCAGATGTATATAGGCTATATTTTTTCTTTTCTTTTTTCTTGTCTTTTTTCTTCTTTGTATTGGCTATTCGAGCACAGCAGTAAGTCTCTATTTCCTTATTTTCAACAGTATTTCACCCCAGCCACAGCCTCGAGGGACATTAGAGTCCAAACATTCCAACTGTGAAATGGTTCCCACACCATTGAAAGACCGGTGGTGACTCAATTAAATGATTATCTGTCTAGCAATGGTCTATTTGAAACATTACAATTAAGGTCCAAACTTTTCCAGAATTCTGAGAGGAATCTCTCAGAGGCAACAAACAAGCTACTCCTTGCATTGCCAAGTATCTCAGTTGCTCATGCCAGGACATGATTTAGTTGCATCTTTTTATTTTTTCTGTCTCTCCCTGTAGCCTGCACTCTCAATGTTGGTTTACTGATCTCTACAACATGCATTACCTTTACATGGAAGGGTAGCTGTATCCTTTTGTGGCCAGAGGCATCACACGATGCAAATTCCAACTGCTGTCAGTGAAAGTGCTGATGATGCAAGGGGCAGTTGTGTCAGTTGTGGACTGTGTAAACTCAATCAAGCAACAACCAATCAAGAATTTAAGTCCTTTCTGTCTGATAAAACCAGTGTTCAGCTTTACCACAATATTCAGCGTAGGTTAGGGTGAGGGTTAGTAAGTATTTTGTGTTCCCTTTCCATGTTTTGACAAATCCTCAGTTTGTGCTCACATATGCAGATGACACCAAAATCTATATGCAAATAAAACTCACTTACTTGCATCCTTCTATTTATCTTTCTGCAACTGAATGCTAACAAACTTAAGATGCAAGTTGTTGGCCCCAAAACATAACAGTCTTGCGACATAGAAGTAACTATAGATTTTGGTGGCTATCTAATTACAAACTGCCAACGGTTTTTGTCTTGTCTTCGCAACCTTACCTAATTTCACAGTTTTTAGGCTGAAGTTTAATTAACAAACAACAAACTATTAGCCTGTAATGATGCCCAAATATGCTAAAACTGGAAGCTACTATTGACAATGAATGAGATGCTGATTATGTGGGAATACTTTGCTTAGTTTTGGTCTTTACAATGTTATTGGTTTTGCATCTCACAAAATAAGCTTTATGCCCAAAACATTTCCATTACAATTCCCCAGTTCATGCTCTGTAGTGCACCTCAGGTTTGAGGAGCTTCATTATATTATAGCACATGTTCAAATTACTGTATGATAATCAGACATGATGCCATCAAAGGAAAGGCAATCCCGCTAGCAACATTGTGGAGTCCTTGAAACTAAACCTATGCCTTAAAGATTGAGTTGAGTTCAGCTCCAGAAAATGGATAACTATTTCATCATTACTGCTTATAGACAAGACAAATATAGAAAATTGTTCTCTTCTTCTCTTTTTTGTGTTGATAAAAAGAACAAAACACCACCTATTCTTACAAGTAGTCTGATTTCAAACCTGTCTCTTAGTAATTACGTTTCCATACATCTAAACTGCAACAGCAAATACATTTTGTTGTTTAGGCAACAAAAGCACTTTGATCTGGTCACAATTATGTTTCCTACAAAACATATTTATTTTTGCATTTTAGTTGTAGCCTATATAAATGCAATTTTAAAGAGAAAGGTTTGCTGATTCCTAACTGAGAAATATAGAGTAGAGACAGTGCAGTTGTTGTTTTCCAATGCTTTATTAAATGCTAAGAGTAGATATGGCACAGCAGCAGCTGTAGTAATTATGATGTATAGTGAGGTAGAGGAGTAGTCAGGCAGCAGACAGAAAGACTATCAGCCCTGGCTGTGCAAGAGCAGTGTGGCAATACAAGTCTAAATTGATGATATACACACACTGGAAGCCTGGTGCGTGTGAGAAGGAGGGGCAACATATTATTGTTATTTGACTGCAAATTTGCTGCAGGAATGACTGAAGATGGATCATGATCATCTCATTTAGATTCTGTTTAGTCCCTGTTGTCTGTGGAGACAAAGATAAAGGTAGAGACAAACACACACAAAGAGCTGTCCTTTAAGTGGAATCTGCTCAGCCATGTAGAAAATACCTTTAATTTTTTTATTGCATCTAAAGAAAAAGCTCTAAATGATGCCTTGATTAAAAGATAACAAACTACTATGACCACTTTAAGTCTTTTCAGCATCCTTCAACTCTGCATATTGATCTTTAGAAGGGGTGTCCACCATCTACTCTCTACTATCCCTGTCAAAATAAGGGCAAAAATATCTGTAAAATTACTTATGTGTAGGAAGTAATCATGTCATTTTGGGGCACAGGGTTTGAAAAAGAATAGTGTGGATACTTCTTTTTCACTGCAATTTTAACTCCAATGATAGCTCATGATAAAACATATAACAACAGTGAATGAAGTGAGAAGTTTACCTTGTTTAGCAGTTCACCTTCAGACTGGCATCTGGTGTTTAAATTGTGACATTAGGCAGGAGTTTGCAGCATTGTAAAGAACAGGTGACATATGGTCAATAATCTTATTTAATAGGCTATGATTAAATATCCCTGACATAGGAGCCCTATGTAGCTTTGCATCTTAATGCCTCTGCTGTTCACAATGATAAATGTGCCGCCGTCCTCCTCAGACACAGCGTGTTTGCCATGAAAACTCCTGCAGGTATTTAGGTATGCTTCAGTCACTTCAGATATCTCCGGAGCATGATTCTATTTAGATAGAGGACATAAACAACCAGTCAGTTCTCTGTGCTGCCGTGTTGAGTTACCGGCTCAGTGCATATTGTCACTTAGGAAGTGGATGGTTCTAATTTAGAGGATGTGTATTGCGACAATATAATTTGACTCTAAATAGGATCAATAAAGCATAAAAAAACAAGGAAATACATTTAGTGTCATTTGCATTCTACCTTTGCACTGCCTACCAAAAGATTATGTGAAGAAGACATGGATACAGGTAGATAGTAACACTGTCCACTTTATTAATGTGGTGAAAATGTCATTAAGCACTTGAAGCAATCTTGTAGGGACTTCATTTGCCAGAGGTGAACTGTTAACAATGCAGAAATGTTAATGTCTCATGCTGAAAGTTGCTGCATTTAGATTTGTAGCTATAATCCTTTTACAAAATTAATCGATATTATGGAACAAATGACTATAATGACTATACGGATGTGAAAGGTTACGTTCGTGGCAACTGTCTCACAGAGATTTATCAGCTGACTCTACAGTTTGCCAAAAGTTTCAGGTCATTGTTTTGTTATGGTTTTCTTCAGCTTTACTGTTTTGACACTGCTCTCATTAACCTCATTTCTAGTTGCAGCAGTGAGTTGTTTTTACCAAAAAGCTCTGATAAATCCACTATATGCTACCTGACAAGCACCAAGGTACCAGTGGATTGGCGTGTTTTATCCTATTTACTACAAATCACATAAACTTTACCTCACAGCTAGCCATTTCACAAGCCATGCTGCTGTGCTTTAGACATTTTAAATGTACTTTTTTTGAAACCATTCCATTGGTTTGAATTATTTTCTATATGGTATGAAAATACATGAGCAGAGTCTTGATACTTTCCTGAGTTGGGTAATCCATCCACAGTGAACAGCAAGTCTACTTTAAAGTTACTTTATTGCAGTAAGGGCATAAATGAAAATCAAGAACTGCCTGGAATGGAAGCGAAAGTACAAAAAAGTAAAACTTTGAAAATCGTTTTTTTGTACTTACAGAGCTAAAACCTTAAACACACCATATATATTATTTAAATGACAACAGGGGAATCTTTTCTGGTGCTGACATTCACATTAAAACAAGGTCACCATTTACTGACTGCTCCATTTCCTAAAACCATGGGGGAACCTCAAACATGCCCATCTATTCAGTGTTTCCTGGTTTTTCTCATTACTTCACCATCTGTGTTGTTGCACTCTGGGCAAAGTGGGCTTTTGCCAAGGAGGCTGCTTGACAGTAACTCAATTTCTAACGGCTACATGGTGTCTTGGTTTATAACAGTGGTAATAAAATTATGAGCCCAATTACCATCCAGAGGCTCAACAATTTGAAATGGGTCAGCTACATTGTACTACACTTCATTGACCATAATATGAAATGTTAGCGTTACTGCACAAAGTGAGTTCTCTAATGATGATATATTTTGTGGGCTCTGAAGCAAATCAATAAGCAAAGTCATGCTGTTGTTTTCACTGAAAGATTTATGTGAAAATAATTTCACTTTCTAAATCATGTCAGTGCTTCAAATAGCTGATTAAAATAAAACATGTCTGTAACATGCCTCAAAATGCCCCAAATCTGTGCACTTTTATACACAGTGAGTGCAGCCAGATCCACTTACAGTCTACTGGGATTGTCCACTGTTGACTGCTTAAAATGTACTAAACTTGCAAAGAACATTTATTGATTGACAATGTCTTCAAATTCAAACTCTAGAAATCATGATTTAGTTGCCACACAGAGGAGTTTGTTTTACATTTTTTATGCAAACTATGAGCTTTGTGCTCCTACTGAAGCACTGGTCTGCAGAGGCACACCCACAGCAGATCTGACACTGATGAAAAACAGATCAACTTAAGTAGATTAAGATGAACTGTATTAATGCTCTGCTTGTACTTGAAACGGTTCTTAATTTGACATCTAAGCTGGATATTCTCACACTTTCTGGTGGTCATAAACGCTCCATCTTCACAAAGCATTAGCTTTGCTGTCTGTTGACAGACAGACGTACATGGTATTTTCCATTCCAGCAGACGCCTAAACACCCAGCATGAAGTGCATAAAAACGATCCACTGGGAGGCAAACATGCAGCAGACATCTCTTTGTTTCAGGATGTTGGTCAGGGAAGGATACGTTTCCTCCTTGTTGCACAACCCGCCTCATATGTCAGTCTCTCAGCGTCTCACAGGGCAGGTAATGCGCCCTCAGTGCCAAACCGGCTGCAGTGCGCACTGGCAAACGTTGCGCGCTTTGCTTTTGCGCTCACTTGTTCCGTCGGCGTTTGATGGTTTTCTATTATTTTATTCGTCTGGATAACGCAGGGAGGAGAAGAAACAAAAGTTTGCTGGAGACAGAAGCTATTTGAGGAATCTAAAAACGTCACTCTGCAGATTTAGGTGAGTGGATCTTAATCTGAGCAAAAAGCTTGTTGATCTTGCATTTGATCTTTTGATCCAGACAGCTATCTATTATGGAAAAATGATCTGTTGCCTATTATAGCGACTGACCCATGCCTCGTTTCTTAATGTTCTTTTTATATCACTATCACCAGTCACCGCAGGACTCAGTCACAGCTGCATTTTAACTTCTTAAGCCATTTTTCGGCGAAGTGCCACATGTCGTAGCAGAGAGATAACAAAGCTGGGACAGTCCCATACAGCAGCTCCTGCTGTGGACTATTAGCTCAGACATACAAATGAAAGATTTTCAAAGTGCAGCAGTTTATGAAGAATGAAGAACAACCTGCTAATCACAGATTCAGGTTTGTCCCGTGATAGATAAGCTCAACTTAACATTCATGGAGAATGTAGCTGGGGTTGATGCCTTGGATGTGATATTAAATGGAAATCCACCATAAAGTGATTGTGTATTGTGCCTTTTGCTTGTACAAGTAAATATCTACAAACACAGCAGTTATCCTATGAGCTGTAAAAACAGAGCATGCAGACTGTCAGAATTCATCAGGTGACACTTTATCAAGCTACTGACACTATTAGATAGTATTAGTATTAGAGAGATGCTGCTTGAGCTTCACTTTAAGATGGCTATGGATCAGAACATGTGCCCATATTAAAGCAAAATCAGAGCTGCTGTCAGTGTCCGTAGCTTCTTCTTTATCTGTCTCCTGAAGGCGTCACCTGCAGTCTGTCTCTGTGATGTTCAGCTCATTGTGCTGTACAATATTCAAGATCTGATGTCTGCTCTGATTTACGGTGGTGGCTCTTTAAATGCTAATAGCACTTCAAATATTTTCAATGTAACCATCTCATCTCACATGGCTTGTACACGGAGTTTTACCATGCACACCATAAATCATAGCTCAACTTTCTCTGTAATGCAAGTTAGATATTTAGTTTGCATAAGTGTCATCATAATTGAAATAATTGCTTTTAAAATGCCTTAAAATTTACATAGATTGAAAATAATACTTACAGACCGTCATTGCTGCTTAAAGGCACAATACATTTTCATTATTTGAATTTGCTCCAAAGGAAAACAGACATCGTTATATATTTTTAGATGCCAGCCAATTGTTTTGGAGAAATACTGAAAACATTTAAGTAATTGACTTTATCTGGGTCACAACATGTATGTCCATTGCTCAAACTGAAGTACATCTTTTCACAGACCGACTTATGGGGACTGTTAGCCATGGATACAGCAGATCAACTCAACATGACTCAAGCGGAAGAGTCACAACTTGTTGTTAAATCTTCCAACTGCTGCTCGACTACAGGCACAATAAGTGATGAGAACTTTTTAAAGCTGGACGACAGCACAAAGCTGGTTGGAGTTCAAGTGATTCTCATCCTTGCTTACAGCACAATCATATTGTTCGGAGTCATTGGAAACTCCTTGGTGATATACGTCGTCTTCAAGTTTAAAAATCTACGGACTGTGACCAACTTCTTTATTGTGAACTTAGCTGTGGCAGACTTGCTGGTGAACACGCTGTGTTTGCCTTTCACCCTCATCTACACTCTCTATGGTGAGTGGAAGTTTGGTCAGGTGCTGTGCTTCATGCTGCCCTGCGCTCAAGGCATGGCCGTGCACGTGTCCACCATCACCTTGAACATCATCGCCCTGGACCGCCACAGGAGCATCATCTACCACACAGAGACCAAGATGTCCAAAGACATGTGCGCTGTGGTCATTGTCATCACGTGGGCCGTCAGCGCCCTGTTGGCCAGCCCGCTCGCCATCTTCAGGGAGTACGGGACATTTGATCTTTCGCCGGATGAATCTATTCAGGTGTGTACAGAGAAGTGGCCGGGAAGCAGCATGAACGGAAGCATCTACAGTATATCGATGCTTCTGGTTCAATATGGCTTACCCCTGGCTATTAACTCTGTTGCTTACATCCGCATCTGGAATAAACTGAAGAATCACATGACTCACGGAGGTCGAAATGACCGCCATCAGCGCAGGAAGAAGACCACTAAGATGCTGCTGACCATGGTGGTGGTCTTTGCTGTCAGCTGGCTGCCTTTCCATGCGTTCCAGTTGGCTGTTGACATCGACAGCACCGTGCTTTATATGAAGGACTTCAAGCTGCTTTTCACTGTGTTCCACATTGTGGCAATGTGCTCGACGTTTGTCAATCCCATCCTGTACGGGTGGATGAACAACAACTACAGGTCGGCCTTCTTGTCTGTGTGTAAGTGTAATAGGCCGTTCAGTTTGAGGTCAAGATGCTCCAAAGGCAGAGACACACTAAAAAGTGAAGAAGGGAAGGTCTGCACAGACTGCAAATCAACAAAGGTGTAAGGTGCACAAAGGAAATTCATTGATAATCACCTGTGGACATGTGAAGTCTGTATTTGGTTTTGTGGGGGCATTTCTTTTCTTACAATGAGGGAAGATGAAAAACATTTATGGGTTGGAGAAATTTAACATAAAAAAAGGGGCTTCAATTTAAAAACAAATGAATTACCTTCACTACATAAAGCTGAGTCATACAAGCTCTAATTCCAAACAATAGCGCTTGTCAACTCGAAGTGTTTGAGAGTCAAACGATGATAGACATTCCTCTTTGTTGGTGTAGATTGTCTGTGTTTGACATTGGCATGGATTTTTGAGAAGACTGCTCTTGACATTTAATGATTTGAATCTGAAATTTAAACAGATGACTAAGACTTTGGCGCTCGGTCAATTGCGATGATAAGGATCCTTTTTAGAGACTATATGAAAATTATTGGGGTGGGCAAGTGGGCTGACTGTTACACTCTCATAATACTCCCAATAATTCAGAATATAAAATCTATGGCAGACCACAAGATTGTGAAAATACAGCCACTCTAATTCTGAATAAAGTACTTCTGAACATTTAGGCCATGACAACCACAGAATGAGAGAACAAGGCCCAGATAGAGTCTCGTATAATATATAATTCTGGGATGAGAAAAAGCTGGAACACCAAAACAAGTTCAGGCTGCACCTTAGTAAAAATTTATAAAAATAAAAAAGGAAAAATGTTCATATCCAAACCAAACTGAGTTCTTTTTTATTGCTGACAAATGTTACTAACTTACGTTCACTATAATATGATCCACCTTTGTCGCAGTATTTGTAAATTCATTGTCTTACTTAAGGATTAAAGTCCTTTTCTATGAGATGTTTGCATTACTTTGCTTCTCCTCTCAAAACTCCTGTCAAAGTCAGCACTGTACTGGGCTTATACACGTAACTGCAAATAACATAAAATCAGTAAATAACAAAAACATAACCTGTACCTGTGTTTTAAACCAGAATGGAGGTAATATACTACCATGGCTAACAACTCTGCTCCAGCATCAAAACACATGCATACGCTGATAATAACTGACAATTTTTTAGAAAAGAAAAAGGCTCATATCCAATAGACCCCCTTTTTTAAAATTCAGAAAGTTGCTAAGGGCATATTAATAAATTATAATTTGAATCATTAATTCACTTTTGAAGTTTCAGCAGGGGCCCCTGTCTTATTTTTCCAGCCTTGACCCAGCAGTGTGGACATCAATCACATGCCGCCGTAAAATGCTTCACAACAGTGATGAAGTCTCAATAGTTTTCTGCAGTGTATATCTCAGGCAGTCATATTTGAAGAGATATGTCTGTGTTAAACATATTTTTTGGGATGTATATCTAACTGGAAGAAGGCAGTATTATGCTGTATTGTTGCTGTCTTTTAGAGCAATCACATCTCAAAACTGGAAAATGTAATTTGGAAATAAATATATATTTATTCATGATGAAAAAAAAGGAAAATATGCTGCTATTAACAGGGAATTTATCAAAGAATGCAAGGACCTTAATTTAATCTATCAAGCCAAAGTGCATCAGTCAGCCTCCACAGACTGTGTAACCTCATAAAGAGAAACAAAAACAAAAACTGTAAATCTTTTTGTCCAAAAGGCCTTGAAGTCATGTACATGTATTTTAACACATTAGCATTATAGAGTGACTCACCTGTTATACGTACTAATTGTATCTGTGTGATTAGTGATTCCAAATCATGCATTAATTAGTCGGGCGCTATTGAATTAACTAAACAACTACAAATAAACAGGTGCCAATTTCAACAAAGTTAATCTTTCTACATTAAACTGCATTAACTGCATAAACTCCATTAATATTAATATTAACATTTATTGGTTGCAGATTCTCAGATATATTTAGTAATTAAAGGGAAACTTTGATGGACATCCATCAGTATTTCCTGATATTTCATAGACTATACAATTGATGGATTAATTGAAAAAAATTAATCAACAGATTAACTGGTGTTAGTTAAAGCCTTATGATAAACTTGCCAGGACCTGTTTCAAGCTGCATCTTTACTGCGTTACTGTGATAGCTTTGCTGAGTGAAAACCTGGCCTCAAATCTTTAACATGGACTCATGTCAAAAGACTTATATATCTTTACTTCACAAAGATATATAAGACCAAACCGACAAAACCGGGCTCCAGGATTCATCTTTGATGCCACACGTTGAAAACAAAAATGGGATCTGCATGATAGACATTACATTTTCCTCGTTGACCGTCTTGTTTAAACCAGCTCCTGACGCTGGAAATGTCTGTCAATGGTTTTGATGATAACTGTCACCATTCAGTATATGGGTGGGAAACTGACATAGAGCAGCGGAGAGGTGTGTTGATCCTCGGTGGGTTCCAGCCATTTGATTCATTGTACATTAAAGTGTTCCTTAACTAACATGTGATGGCCATAACAGCACACATCAGTCTGCCTTGACATAATACCTTGGCAATTGTCAGCAATCAAACCAAGTGTAAAACTATCGGCGGTGAAATTTACTGAAGGCTAAAATAAATGGATAAATAAATATGAAAAACATGTGAATTCATGACATGTGACACAGAGAAACTGTCGTGAAGTAAATACCACTAAATATAGACGTTTGACTTTGTTTTGGCCTTGACATTTATTGGGCTCTTTGTTATGGGCTTTACGCAGAGGGATCCAGATGCTTTTGTGTGTTTGCATTATGGGTTCAACAGAAAGGGGCTTATTAGACAGAGTTCCTCTCCTTCCCTCACTTGTCTTTGTTCGCAGTGAGCATCCTAATTACCACTATTTGCTTTTACAGTGATTACACCGGTGCTCAGGTTTTGAAGAACCCTTCCTGTTGACCAGGTCCTCACTGATTTACTTTGAGTGTACGTGAGGAGCCGAAGGACTGGGATATTAGCTCTGCATCTCCATTTTTAGTAAGCTATTCATGGCGTATTCAGCACTAAATCAATAATTGTTTCTTTAACTGTGTGAGTAGCAGCTGCTGCCACAAAATGTGCCCTCGGGAGGATACTTGCTAATCAAGTAAAATGAACAATAGTTTTGAAACTAATTAAATTTATCCTTGTTTGCTGATGGTCTTGTCTTTTGCCTTTCATAAGAGAAAGCACTTAAGCCACTCCACATGATTCTCTCTTGGCGTTCCATCCATACACAAGTATTAATATTTAAGTAATGACTTTTCATATATGGAGTGAATATTGATTTTGTCGTTTAACTGTATGTCTATTGTGAAATAATGAAGTGCTGGTCGTGAATCACAGTGTGACAGCATATTCATCAGTGATGATTAACATACAGAGCATAGAGTCTTTTTGGTTAATGGTGGCTCGTGGCCACTAGAGTCCATTTAAAGAGGATGTTGTTGCTATGCATAGTATTTATAAGGATACAGTAAAGCTGAATTGTTTAGCTTTGTCAATCAGTTTCTCAATTAGGCAGCAAACAACATGTTATCATGTATTAAGTAAAACTACCCAACTTTTACAGGCTTCTATTTTTCACATGTGGGTATTTGTTTGATCTTTTTTTTTTTTTTAAATATAATTTACAGTATTATAATTGGGATTTTGTTTGGACCGATGAACAGACAAAAATTGTACATTTTAAAGATGCGTTCATTATTAGCCAATAGGGGGCAGAAGAACTCTAAAACAAGCGGACAGACATGCAGCCCTGCCAGAATGTCCCGTTAACAGTTGCTTACTCACACATCCGGCAGACATGGAGAAGTTTCAATGTTGTCATTTTTTTGGCAACCGGAAGAATGTAAAGTCGGCCCCTGGAAAAAAAAACTAATTTGTTTTCCTAACTTATTGACAACGTTGTCCATCTTTTCTTTTTGTATTTTTCGGTGATACGGGAAGTGTGCAAAGCTTTTTTTTGTTTGTTTGTAAATGGTAAATGCCTGAGGGGGTTAATGTGAGCTGCACCATGTCCTGGATGTGTTTGTATTAGCAAACTAACTTGATTTTATGTAATTGTAATTTTATTTTATTAATTTTTTTTAATGAATGCTTTAACACATTTTGGGTTCTGGTAACTTGTGAAGGGGATTAGTTATGCCCGCCCCCTTTTTTTCTTTTATTGCTTTTGTATTTTTGTTTTTACATTTTAAAATCTATTTAAAAAAAAAAGAAAAAAAGGAGACTCACCAAGAGTCAAAATGATCTTTATATTCAGCATTAGTCTGAACTCACCATATACATGTATACAATAAATACCTGGTACAGACTTTAGACATTTCCTGACCTCAAAACATACAACTCAATACCTCAGTGTGACTGCACTGTTTTCTGTTGTCAGACGGTGAAAGAGCTGAAGAACGATGCTGTAGCTCCCTCCAGTGTCTCACTAGGATCTTACCATTCTTCTTATTGTCATATTCACAGTGGACTGAATTAATTATAGTAATGATTCCTCTGTTTATAGGATTAATCCTATTATTTAATATTATCATCTATATCCACCATTGAATCACTGGATATACACAGTCACTGGAGACATGTATGGTAACTGGCAGAAGGCTGATTTTTCATCACTGTATAATAATATCATATGGATTTTCTCTGACTGTTTGAACACTTCATTGCAGATGCTTGTATTGGCTGCTACCCTGATGCAATGTTTTTCAATGACTGTACCATAACATCAAATAGAAACACGCTGATTTTGTGGATCATTGCTCTCGGTTTCAACCTCACATATTGAAAACTGAAATTTGATCATTTCTGGAATTTAGAATAAAGTTGTGTAGTGAAAAACGCAAATGTGTGTGAGTAATGATGGACCCACTGACCTTTTGTTCCTCGGCCTGAGCAGACTCAGTTGTGTAACTGTCTGTAGCAGGCATTTTATCCCTACAGCCCTTCCTTTATACACCGTTTAATTAAAATTATGAAAGGGTGAATGGTCAAGCCAACATTTAATTCAAAGAGGAACTGTAAAGTATGTTATGCCATTTCAATTTAGATTCTAGTTTCAATTGTTTAATGGATGCTGATCAATTTTTATTTTTTTTATTTTTTTAAACAGGGGCAAAAAATTACAGGACCTTCTGTCGGAAGTTAGTCTTTTACCAAGGGCTACAAATCAATACTGGTGTTACTAGGAGGTATATTACATCAGCCAGTAATCTCTCTTATCTTTTACCTTGACATGACTGGCCTGATCAGGGCTCCAATGTTCAGAAATTTGTGTGCTGGGACTCCAGTGTTGGGCTGATACATTGCTGTGTGTGGTGTCTCTGTGGCGGCTGGCCAGTACTGATCTTGTTTCCTTTAAAAAGAACGGATGACTAACTCTACGCGCACGCACACGCGCACACGCGCACATGCACGCACGCACGCACGCACGCACGCACGCACACACACACACACACACACACACACACACACACACACACACACACACTTTTTTCAACTGTATTTACTTACTCAGTAAAGGCGACCTGTTTGGACCTGTTGGACAAATTGATTGTCAGTTGCTCTACAAACACACCGGATATACCCAGACATACATACCCCCCCCCTCCCCCAGTGTTTGCATGTTGAACCTCAGATGAACCACTTCAGTCTCCCACACCCACACAGGTGTTTTCACTTGTGGTGCTGATTAGCTCGTTGCTCAGGTAGAAGGTTGGCTGAGTCACTGTGGTCTAATCAACCACAATAAGTGAAAACACCTGTGTGGGTCCACTATGGGTGTGCAGGGCCCTTATATCCAGCACAAGAAAATGGATATAACAGACCAAATGTATTCAGCTTTTTTGTGATTTGCTGTATATTGGAAGTATTTCACAGGAAAAATAATGTAACTGTTCATCCAAAAAAAATGTTGTGTTGTGTTAAAAAATTGGCCACCAGCTTTACTTTTCACAGCTGACATTTTGAGCACAGGTGTTCATTAAGGATGGATCCCACTCAAATCCCAGTAAAGCATGACAATGCATGTGGGAATGAGCCAGCGTGCACAATACCAGGATCCTAAAAACTGAAGCAGCTAAACTGAATTCAGCCATCATTGATTTTAGTATAAATCTGTGCTTTTCCTACTATGATGTATCAAAATGCCTTCTAGCAAAAAATGGTCACAGTTTCTTGTGTTGGATCAAATGTATCAAAACATCCTTGGAAACAGCATAATATACACTTGTAATTTCAGCATGTCCCAAACACACATTTCAGCCAAGATAAGCCTTTATATGGATAAATAAGCTTGCACAGCTGAACTTCACAAACAAATAATAACACAGTTTTGAAGCTAGTGAAACTGTCAATACTTAACAGCCACATTCCAGGCCTCCAGTAGGTGCATGTTTCATATTAAACAAGACTAAACAGTCTACAGTTGTGCTGTCATGGTTTCCACACGCCAAGATGACGCCTATATTTGTGACACAGCCCATACGGTATGAAAATCCAGGGCCAGTAGATCAGAGATGTGATAGTAGTACAGCTCTGTGAGGCTGTACTTACTGACTCTAGTGTTTTGAGTTATGCTCACGTCTAAAACTCTTCAATATGACACCGCAAACACGCTCATCTTGAGTATGTTTACCATGTTCACATCTTAGTTTAGTGTGTTCTTATGCTAATTTGCTAATTATCACTAAACACACAGTAGCCCACAGCTGGTGCTGATGGGAATGCTATAAGTGTTGAAATAGTATTTGACAAATTGAAATTATGACTTAATAATGGTGCTAGAAAAAGGTTAAAGGTACTATATATAAGTTCTGGTTGCTTGACAAGAGCTTCAGCCATTGTTGCATTTAAACAAGACAAAGTTAAAATATGCAGCGCAACTTCTTCAGGGGAGACTGGACGCTACAGTGACTCAGTATCGGAAAGTGAAGAGACAGTCCAGGCAATCTAGCTAGCTAACCTAGCTGGTTAGCATGCAATCTTCAGTACAACTGATAAAATTTAACAAGGGGGTTGCTTTTCACCTCTGGAGACAGCTCTTGGAAAGTAAAGTAATGAAGTTTGATGCTGAACTCACAACATTTCTTCTAGACTGATAAGTAAACAGTATGTTAATGCTAACGTTGGCTATGTAGCAATAGCAAAACTTACAAATAGCTCCTTTTAAGGGGGGTGCTTTTCTTCTCAAGACTCCACATACACATCATCTTACACTATGAACAGGGGGTCTTTATTGGAAAGACATCAAATTGTGAGAAACTGGCAAGAAATAAAGTGGCATGTTTTGCTGTCCCTTCTGCTGGGCTCTTTAAACAACACGTCTGTTCAATTATCACCTGCGAAATGTTCCTACACAGAAATGCCTTACAGGTCAACACAGCATACGGTTATGTTCAGAGAAAAGTGTATTCTTGCTGAAATGTTATTGCACACAGACAACTTCAAAGTGCATATGATCACTTAAACAGACGTAGGACATAGGAGTGTGTGCTGAAGTGTGTGTCTGTTTGTGTGTGTGTGTGTGTGTGCCTGCATGTGTAAGGGCTTGTGTCTGTGCTTGTCGGAGGGGAATCTATGCAGATGGATAAGTTGTGATGAGGTCATGTCCCTCCGGTGGTCTCATTCTGGCCCGAGCGTGAGTCTCACAGTACAGCTGCCCCTCCACGAAGAAATAGCCCTTCTGTTTGAGGTTGACGTCACAGTCGGAGCACACAAAGCAGCCAGGGTGACGATATTTGTCCCGTGCTTTCACCACTGTGCCACTGTATCATAGAAAGCAGACACAGGGAGATGTTAAGAGGAAAAAACAAGGTATGTATGGAAAGTTATGTGAACCACCAGTTACCACAAGTTAGTAACTTTGGTGTATGAGTTCTAAAATGTGCAAAGACATTGGATCAACAAAATCAGGACCATCTGCTGTATTGTCTTTTTTACTGACAACCTTGCAATAAAACAACACCAGGCCAAACAAGAGTCATTTCACCTTTGGCATCACAGTGATATCACGGAGTACTGACACACAAAAACTAGAGCTCAGAAACAAGGACGCTGAGATGAATAGACGGAAAGCAATGAATAGTCTGCACCAACTTTCACTGGTTGTCTCATTTTACTACAAACAAAAGCTGCCATAACGAAATTAAAAGTCTACAAAGAAACAGATTTCTTTAACACAATGATGCACGAAGACTGAATTGGGTAATTGTATCGACAACACTTACATTAGTTACGTTTGGAAAGGTGAATTTCATACTCATACATTTTTCTGATGGTTTTTTTTCCCTTCATCTTGTATTTTTAACATCTGTCCTGAAAAATTATAAAAAATAACAAAAAAGTAAAAAATAACTAAACTAACTAAAAGCAGCAATAAACACTACTTTATTAGGCTTATAATGTAATGTTCAAATTATCTAGGCTGCAGAATGTTCAGACAAGCTATACATAGTTTGTAGTGCTGCCTTAGTAGTGCATTGTTTTTGTAATTTTCTCTCATCCTTTGTTTGGATTGATTCATGCAGGGTCTGAATGTGAATCACAGATGATTTGCTCTATTTTTACTCACACAATCCCATTCCCACACTTGTCGCAGACGGGCAGTTTCTGCAGGTTTCCTGTGGGCGGAGTCGGTTTGGTCATGGGGGCTTTTACTGTCCTGGTCACAATGGGACGAGTGCCTGTCCACACGGGAGAGAAAACACTCAACGAGACAACTCTGTACTCATAAATGATTAGAGCACATGAATAAAAACAAACCACTTTGGAGGCAGGGACGCTTGTGTCCACTTGAATCCTAAATGACACTTCCTTTTGGGTTACAAGCCTAATTCAGCTCAATCAGGATACATTTTTACTTCTCAATGAATAAAGGGAAAACACGAGTGCTTTTGTAATGATGTATTGTATACGCCACTCCTCAAATAATGAGAGGAACACATGTGTCATAATGACATATTGTGTAGCTTTAAATGTTCAAGTTATGAGACTGGTTCGTCATTCAGTGTCTAATGTAATCTATGTAATATTTCTTTGTTCCCTGTATAATAATGAATATACCCCTGAACTGATCCTCATGTGTGTATAGGAGGTAAAAATATAGGTTACTGTGGAGAAAACTGCCTGTTGTTATCAGACTCCGATGTCAAAATGTTGGTTCTTAAAAAGCCCTAACTTCAGCTGTGTGCTCCAGCCCTAATTACCCAAGAATGTAGTGCAATATAATTGAACTGAATCCTTTGATACAAAATTATATTCCTGACACATCTCATAAAGATAAAATTGCAGTCGCATCACAAACTTGTGTAAAATTAAATATTCAGGTGTGAATAAATCAACAAAGTTAAAAAAAGACATCTTTAGGTATTATTTCATTAAGTGTTTAACACACTCCTACTCTGTTTGAAGTAATCTGAAGTAATCAGATCTTTTACTTCTCCAAAAGTTGCAACACCACAGTGTATAAATATCCTGTTACAAGAAAAAGTCCAAGTACAGAACTATTATCATCAAAATATATCTTTACTTGTACCTAAAAAGTGCTCATTATGCAGAATAGCCCACACCTGAACAATAAATATTGTATAAATATCGCAGCTGGTAAAGGTGTTAGCTTATACACTTTGAGCTGGACATGTCTTTGAATAAAAGTTGCTAAAGGCGTCTTTAAAGGCAACATATATGATTGGTCAATGTGACATCACAGTTTTCCTGACCCCCGCTCACTACAAACATGAGAAGAGAAAAGACATACAGAAACTGTATTTATGTGATATAATCAAACTTCTTTGAACTTTCGAACAGATTTTTCTTTTTCACATAGCACCCTGCAGCTTGTAGGAAGAGGCTGAATGAGGAAATAAAATAAATAAATAAAAAACATCTGTATGCGTCTCTAAGGTGAAATATTGTGTCTGTTTAGTATTTCAGACTGTCAGCCTCCTCTACTATACTGGATGATTTCAACATGTGAAATGTTTTTGTGTTGTGGCAGAAATATATTGTCTGGGAGGAAGAGGAAGCGCTCACCATCACTGTCAATAAACTCCTGCAGGGCTTTGAAGGAGCCAGACTGTCGAGGCTCCTGGGGCTCCTCCTGGTCTTTCTGCAACATCCGGTACACATCAGAATCCTCGATGCTAGTCAGAGTCCTGGGGCTGTGCAGTGCAGTCACACATCACACACACACACACGCACACACGCACGCACACGCACGCACATGCGCACACACACACGCACACACACGCACACCATATGACTGTTTTTCCCCAGACCACACAAATTTCATGAAGAGGGATCGCGTCATGCTAGTGGTATAAATGATGCATTGTACTCTTAACTGCATTATATTTTCTTTTCTTTCTTTTTTGTTATGAAATAAGAATGGATGTTGGTGAATGAACAATTTTGGCAGAGATCCACAACGTGTCTTTTCCATGCACATCGTAATAGCTTGTATCATAATTCCGTTTTAATTTAAAATAATTCCATCTTGTCTGCTGATAATAGCGGTCGTGATTACATTACAACATCCATGTAAATCAGCCTAAACTAGCGGAGAGTCTATGTTGCATCGGTTGCCATGACCCAGGTTTAGATGTGATTTACGTCTTATTCAGAGGTTGTGGTTAAGCCATGGAAAGGCTCATTCCTGTGTGCTGTGGTAATATATTCTCAGTGTGACAAACCATATATCAGGTAGCCTAATGAAATCCACATGACTGCATGAAGGCTGACACACTGCAGTACATCTGTGGCTGCATAAGGCTATTCAGCTGACACCTTCAGACAAACTGGGTGACAGAGTGGCATTCAGGAGGTGAGTCATGTAAAGAGCAGGTGGACTAAAAGTCAATGTAACAAGAGCATGGCAGAAAAAAAACTGAAGGCTAGAGGGGAACAGAAATCATAGAAGGAACAAACTCCATAGCTACATTATACATATACATACTGTCCTTTATATGAGGCTTTCATTTTTTCTTTGCTTGGCCTGAGGGTGCCATTAGAGGAAATGACTTTTCATAAAGAATCTAACTATTATTAAATAATAATGAAATAATGAAAATAATCATTAGTTGCAGCCCTAAGGCTAACTAGCATGGCACTAGACTAACACTGGATGAAAAGTAAAGAGACACACAAAGGTCATTATGACTTATGCTCAGGTGACCATGGATTTACCAAGACAAGAAGATATCATGTCATATCAGACAGAAGATATACTGATATGGCTGATTTGACAAGTTTAAATTTTAAATGGACATACTGGCAGAAATTATGATAAGACAAAGTTTTTGAATTTCACCTTGTTTGTGACGCTCATCATGTGACCTGCTGATTGAGATTGTGGCCACAATTGCAAAATCATTGTACAACCCAGTGCTATTCCCAGAAAATATTAGTACCCAATTTTATGGCTGCCTGTCCAATAGCTGTCAGGTTAAGGTACGTCACCCTGTCCCAGATACAGATGGATGATCTGATGTGCAGGCTAAACAGCTCTTAGTTAGTTTCTGTGCTGTGGGTTTTTTATTTTAAAAGAACCTGACGTGCCATGATTGACAGCAGTGATCACTCACCTCTCAGGCTTCTGGGGGACAATGCCTCGGATCTGGCCCTCCATGGCGTCCTGGATATTGCCTGAGGAGTACAGGCCAATAGGAGTATTGTAGGACGTACTGACCACCTGACGCTTATCATCGATGTTCGCTGCCGCAACAAACGGCTGAGCTTTCCGGTTGTGTCCGGTGCCAATAGGTTTATACTCCTGAACACATAAGAAGGGAACAAGAACAGCACTGAGAAAACATGAGATGAAGAAGCGAAACTGAATTCATTTCTCAGACACTTTTACAAACCTGTTGTTCTGCTTCTAGGTTGAGTTTAAATGGGTGAGCTCTGCCTTCCTCCACAACACGAGGGGACCACAGTCTTGAATCATTCCTGGGAATTAAACACAGATCCTGGTCAGAAGTTCAGCTCAACCTGACTGATGAACTGTTGAATAACTCTTTTTTTGAATCTGTGTGTGTATGTGTGTGTGAGTCTATAATCCCAACTCATAAAACATCAACACTGAGGTTTAAACTTATGCTGACATCTCTGGTCTTTTCAGTCATGCCGTTGGTTCCTACTTTATTATTTCATAAGTGTGTCCAAACTGAAAAAGTGACAAAATGAAGCCAAATTCATAGTCATACCAAAGTCACTTGATTTTTGAATGTGTTTTTGAATATTTTATTGTCCCTTTAATAGAACCCACAAAAGAAACGTAAGCGCAAGCTAACAGCTGGAAAAGCATTAAACTAAGTGCAGATGGTGGGAAGAAAGCTCCAGGAAAACCTTAAAGGTTTCACTGACATTTGTGGTACAAGTCTTGCATCATTTTCAGTAAGTAAAAAACAATAAAGTGCTCAAATGTCTTGCTTTAATATATAACAGAAGAAACTCTATACTGTTATGATTAGTATATGGTTCATATTATAAAGGAGTGGTTTCCGGGGGGCAGACCCTTGCAAGGGGTCCAAAGAACAATGTGAGGCGTTATGAGATGACTGACTGATTTACTGGATGATTTAGGCTTTTAAAGGTCTTTGAAATTATTCAAATAAAATAAAGGAGAAAAAAAATTCTCTAGGTCACAACACCTAAACATACAGCTGGCGATAAGACATTAAATGTCATTGTTCCTGTATCAGTACGTGTAGATAGAGTTTGGACACAGCAGCAGACACCAAGATGTGACCCGATGGACACAGTAAAAGGAACAACTGTCCAGTATTTAATCCAATACAACGCCATAACAATGGGCTTCAAATGCAACATAGACTTTAACCAACAGGTGCCCGACACAAAAATTTAACTATGAACTTTCATAAACTCTGTAATTATTGCACCGTTAATGCATTAGATTTCATTGTATTGTGCATGTGTTGATTTTATTGTGTCCATCACCGGTTTGTGTGCATGTGTGTTGTGTGCTCGTGGGTTTCTACATGCAACCTTTCAACAGTGAGACAGAGCTGACTGGTGGACTCCTTTATCTTATTCTGGGCTTCACAGTGCAGCATGTCTGTGGCAGGGACTCCCTCGATGGCCAGGATGACGTCACCAGCGCACAAGTTGGCCATGGAAGCCTTACTGCCGGGGGTGATCTGGTAGAGAGCAGAGCAAAGGGGTAAACAAGGGACACGGTGAGAGGTAGAAGGAGAGCAAATAAAGACTGAACTGAAATGTCATCATAAGACGGTGTGAGAGGATGAAATCCCTCCAGTAGTTCCAGAGAATATATACAAACACTTAAGATCTCTTACTGAGAGACTTCATGCTGTTTTCGCTTTATTTTGTCACCTGTGTATATATTATGAGTCGAAAGTTCACTTTGTTTGCTTTTATTTCCCCCCTTTTATCACACTACTAAGTATTAATATGTTTTTTAGCCATAGAAAAATAAATCCATAAATGAATCATTTCAGCATAATTACATTTTGAGTTCCAGCCACAAACAAAAATAAGCCTCGCTCGAATTCAACTGACAGCTATAACTGCTGGAGGTCATGAGAAGTTCGAGACCTAAACACTGACTCATGGTGCAGAAAAGGTTGGAAAACCCTAAATGAGTATATCAGTAAAGGTGGTGGGAATGAAATATGTTGCCTACATTTGTTTTTCTTTTTCATATTAAAGTTATTCTCTAGTTTGTATACAACTAAATGTATTTCAAACACATATACGCATACTACGTATACATCCCAGTAACATATATCCTTTGTAATAACTTTTAAACCAGTATATATATTTATTCATACATACAAATTCATAACTAACATGCACAAACAGATGTTTGCAAATGTAGATTTTTTTCAGTCAATAAGTTAATCAATTCTTTAATCTATACACCTAATGTCAGAGGTTTGTGTATTTCCATATAAGTAGTTAAAGTTGTCAGGCAGTCACAGTACTGTGATGGAGGCAAAGATGTTGCATGGTTACTCCAAAAATTGCTGTAACTGCACAGCATTTAATCTGTGTTTCACACACCTCTATAAATTAAACATTAGCAGTCAGCAATTTGTTAATTGCGAGCACGACCGGAGCTTATTTGAGAGAATACTAAACACTTTTGACGAGACTGAGCGGCCTAGACGGGTCACCACAAAACAAAAGCAACAATAGGAATGCAAATTATGTTGCTCACTTTCATTGTGGCTTTTGCTTTCGTGTTGTTGATTTTGCATTTGTGTTGTGCCTTTTGCATTGTGTCGACCCGTCTGGGCCACCACACTAGACAGTTTGAATATGAATTAATTCTAATTTAACTTTCCTCCCAAATGTCACAAGGAAGCTCAGTGTTGAATTCTTCTTCCCATTGTTTTGTTTTTAATTATTTTACAGAAGGGATCAGTGCAATGTGAAAAAAATTGGAAATGTACAGAAATGTTTTCTCTCTTTTGCTTTCTGGTTCTCTGTAAAAACCCATTCAAACAGCTCACCATCTACAGATGGTGCAGCCTTTGTGAAAAGTTTTGGTCTGCTCTCCATCACTGGCACGTCATCTCTTAGTACAGTGCTCAACGGCGAGGCCTCTTGTTCATGTTTCTCTTAGTTCGTCTTCACCTGGCCTAAATAAAAAACACAGACTCCACTAAATGGCCTGAATCTATATTTTCTTTCACCACATGCACTCTGCCAAACACGGGCCGCTCCCTGAGATGCAGCAGGAGTGTTCTTGTTACAGACGACTGGCATTGCCCTGGTTGGTATGCATGCATATAAACTGTCCGGCCTCCGTCATGGAGATAAAATAAACACGTGCTGCTTCCCAATAAGTGACAGCATCCAGATGGAATATGTATTCTGCTGGCCAGGAAGTGATCAAGATGAATAAGAACTCCCAGAAAGCCATCAAGGTCACAGGGAATACCTCAGGAGGCAGCTTCAAACCAAACCCAACATTCCTACTTACACTACACAGGGCATGACCTATGATCAGCCATATTGCATTACGGGACATAGGAAACTTTGCTACACTGGGATGTTACACAGAAACTTGAATTAGATCATCTGCCTATAAATAACTGTGGATGAAAGTGCTGAGGGGATGTCTCATGCTGCCAAAGAGGGAGCAGTAATTTACAGTGGAGCGTTTGTTGAAGTGCTGCTGCCTGACTGTATGTTTTACTGCTCTGATGTCTGTTACCTGAATCTGTGCGCAACTATGCTTTTTATTGGATTCTTTCATTTCAATGCAGCTCAGTTGTCTTGTCAAACATTCGCCTTTGTTTAAATTATAACCACCTTACCATCTTTTGCCTATTTTTTTTGCCTGTCTCTTTCTTGCTTGCTTCCTTCTGTCCTTTGCCGCTACCTCTTGCCTTTGTTTCCTTCTCTTACTTTTTTCCTTCCTTTGCCTTCTTCTATATAACAATCCTCAAAACTGAAGTAGGAACAAGAAAGCTAAATTCTTATTTCACTTAAAATACTTCGGTACGACTTTCTGATATTTGTTTGTGTTTTTTGAGTAGAACAAAATCGGATTTCACAATAAAAAAAGTGAGGAATTAAAAAGGGGAAAGAAAGAATCCGGCTAGAGCAATAAACTATCCAAGAAGTACTGGGGAAACAAATCTGGCGGGTCCAAAATGTTTGCTGATGTAATAAGAAAGGATTGTATTTCAGCTATTTAGTAATGCAATTAAAGCTGCACTCATCATTATTTATGTTATTAATGTTGGATCAAATACTGTGGAAAAAAAGGGGTCGTTCGTTGTGACAAACCCACCAGAGCCCAGAATTATCACCAAACTCGTTCCCATTAACTGTATAGGAGCATTTTGGCATCTTTTAGCTGACTGTTTTGATTTTACAGCTTCAATTTCACTAACTTTACTAAATGCACTTAGTTTTGGTTTCATCTCACAGCAGGCATCTGTCGTAAACCTTAAGTATGATAAATGCCTGATACCAAACAGCGGCCAGAAAAAGACTAGCTTGTGAACGTAGTGGAGCATTTAGCTTCGAAAGAGTCAGATATTTCCCACAGGAGATGGTGGAGACCAAACAGAGCTAAAATTAGAATGAATACATTTTCATTCAGAGTGCCCAGAAACATAACTCCATATTTGCGGGATGTGCTCATATATGGTGATAACATGTTAATATTGTGTTCATAGCTTGATGCGCTGCCCCCAAGTGGCCATAAAAAATTGAAGTTGGGAAATGTTTGAGAGACAGATCTCAAGAGAAGGCTAAGATATCCTGAGTTCATCCCACACAAGCGAACAATGCTGGATCCTAAACCTCCCATAATGCAACTCAATTGCAGGTGGGTTTCCATCCACCTGTCAAAAAATTCAAAATATTGCGTGAACCATTTTTATGCTTGATTGAGGTGCAAAATGTAGTGTATCGCTAAAAGTCTCTGTGAATAAATTATGGCATACAAGTTTGATACAAAAAGTTTGAGACCACTCTCGCATTCATGAAGCATGTGACATAAACGTCTGCTTGAAGCCTCTGCTCCGCTGAAGAGAAGAAACACGATGGCAAACAACAACATCAGATTTGTGTGAAGTGATGAGGAGATTGTAGCATTCCTGAAATGAATACATGAAACAAACATAATTCCATATTTCCATCATGTTTTCCACATTGTTTTTCACTATTTCAGGTTTGACTGGAGCTCCTTTATTACGTCATCTTGTTGCGCTCTGTCTATTGATGTCTATCTACCATTTTTTTTAAAATGCAGACTTGAATTTGTAGCCTCCATGCTCGAGCCAAAATGGCTGTGATGACAAAGGTATTTTCTCAGACTTAACAAAGCTCCCCCGGAGCCACAGAAGAAACTATACAGCTGCTTTCACAGGCTCAGTAACGCCCCCATGACACGACGATCAAGTAAACTGATCTTGAGGTGTACATTTTATGGAGTGGCCCTTTAAGGCTGCTGTCTGCTGAAGAAAAAGATGATAATCACTTGTGTTTACTTTCCTCAACCAGCTGGGAACACTGGCGGGTCATAAAGAGGAGGATGTTCCTGACCAAAAATGGCAGTGAAGGGAGACACTGGATTCACTTGTGCCTGAATGAAAGTCTGTGGGTTCACTGCAGCAACAGTCCCTTCCACTTGAATACGATACAAGCTGTTATTCAGGGTGTATCAGATCAGTCTTTTCTTTAATACACATCTCTCTCACAAGTACATTCTAACACATGGGCTTCTTGTATTACTGCTCTCGTATGGTTTACTCTCCCGGATTCCTCTCTGCCTCTCTTTTTCCATTCCTCTCCTCCCTCATCCATCCCAATCTTCTCTCATCACTGTTCTCATATGGAGCCACTGAGTGTCCACTAACACAACAGGTGTGAGGCTATTGGACAGAGCCACTGGTCGGTAGCTTGAACTATACTTTTAGTCAGTACTTCCTGAGATCTCTCCCTAAATATAGATTCACATAACCCCAACAGAGCGGGATTACTGGGTCTCCTCACATCTGATCCTGCATGTGGGACTCTGGGGACACGGCCCACGAATGAGTCTAAATGCTGATGAAGACGTCACTGTTTGTATTCAGGATATTTGCTGTTGTGTTTTGTTGTGGTGAAGAAAAATAAGGAGTGACTCTGTGTTATAATTGTTTCCATAGTCAAATAGGAATATCATTGATAAAAGGGAAAATATCATATTTATTCCACAATAGAAAACATACAGCACTGCTACTGTTATGTAATAATCTCCTAAAACAGCTCCAGTCACATTTGTTTTTGTTGTGCTTTTTTTCTTTTTTCCCTTTGCCTGTTTATTTATTGATCCCTCTCTTCCTTCTTTCCTTTCATATTTGCAGTTTTGTTTTTGTTTCCCTCACTATTTGGACTGTCTACCCATGAATTCAATTAAGTGCCCAGGAAGTGTGAATAATAATACGACTAATGCCATGACTACAGGTAACAAAACTTCTTGTTGTTCACAAAGGAACAGAAGAAAAAAAAAGAAAAGAAAAAGGTGTTTTTTTTCTGACTCGATATTGAAGCAACATTTCAACATCATGGAAAGTAAGCGTGTTAATTTGTGTGTCACTAAACCCAGATTTTACTGTACAGTAATAACTGTGATATCAATCTTCTCATCTAACTACTGCAAAAAAAAAAGAAAAAAAAGAAAAAGAAGGGGGAATAAACAAACCTCCCTAACTGTCAAACTAGACCTTTAAATTGTCTAAATTCTTGCTGGTATTTCACTTTAATAACTAACTAACTACACACGATTCAGTTGTTTGTCGTACTTCACATCAACAGGAAATGCCATATTAGTTCCAGGAAACGATCCTTTTCATTCACAGATGAAGATAAAGTCTGATTCACTTCATCTCAATCGGCGGCCATGACCTTCTAAAACCGTTTGCCTGCTCCTCTTTAAATTAGATGAAGTATCTGTCTGATACATTTTTAGTTTTCTTTAATAACACACAGTTAGGTTTACTTCTATATATGTCATCTGTCACCTCCCAGCTCCACCTGTGCTGTCAGTTTATGAGGGTGATATGTTACATGATTCTATGGGTTGACCTACAGCTGAGGTTCACTATCTCCTGAACAGCTGCACTGTTATAATAGAAATATCACAACAGCGTGTACAACATCATCATTACTGACAGATCCATTCTTCTGTGTTGACTCAGCTGTCAGCATGAAATCCCTGAGTTAAGCAAGTTTGTCCAAACATATAAAGTCGATTCTACATTTGGAAAATTCCACAGTTGCGTTTCTCTGTTTGTCCACATTCCATGTTTTTCATCAGGTTTTAGTCCGAATTGATTTACATGCTCTGCAGGACTGGAGTACAGTATTTTCCATGCTCCTAAATTCTCCAGTCTGAGATCCACTCAGTGAAACATGCGTATATGTGTGTGTGTGTGTGTGTGTGTGTGTGTGTGTGTGTGTGTGTGTGTGTGTGCACATGTCAGAGTACAATGTAAGCTGCTATTTGTATCTAAGCCTCTTGCATTTACTGTGGCACAGGTGCAGACCCCATACCACAGACTCTTTCTCGAATGAACCCTCCTGGAAGTGCAATGTTGACACTGAACCACAGACTTACACCTCTGGACTGTTCCACAACAGTTTAAAATCACATTCACATTCACACTGTTTGACGTTTGGCTGAGGTTACAACAGTAGAAACAGTGTCAAACAAACATTTTGCGCCCAGACAACCCAAAATATGTGCCAGGAAAAGAAATTAAAGAAGTCAAGTCAAATGGTTTTGTTTTGATCAAGAGGAAAACTGATTTTGCAAACTGAATTCTTTCTTTCACTCACTCACCCTGGAGATGGTCAGAGGCTGGTTGAAGTCCTTTCCTCCCATCAGGCGAAACCCCCAGGGGGCCGGACCGTTCAACACGACATTGAGTGGCATGACCCTTTAATGTCTCCGCCGCTGTTAGATAACAACAGCACAGACAGTGAACTGCACACTGCGGGTGACCACAGTGAAAGAGCAGAGGACTATGAAAGTGATGGAGATTTTGAACCATGTTGGGGGAGGAGGGGTGCAGGGGGAGGAGAATGGACAGACCCCACCCCAGCAGTGAAGTAATTTGTCAGATTTTGGGACCTGACTCTTAGTGTGTGTCCCACCAGCACTTGCTCGCCAGTTTTCCAATTTCTGTGAAGCCATTTTTTTTTTTTTGTTTTGTTTTTTAAATTTCCTTTTTTCTCTCGCACTACTTCTCTCTATAAATAGAAGCCAGTATTTTCTTGCGTGAATCAAGTGCAACTCAAGCTTCAGTTGTCTTACTCACAACCAGATTTGGACAGCGCACTGCAAGTAGGTATGTGGACACTTGTAGACAGTGAGGATGTAAACCAGCTCCCCTCATCGCTTCTCATCCCCGGGCAGCTCGGAGCCTGGCTGGCCTCCTCTTTGCTCTGGTTGACGGGTCTTGCTGCTCCTGTCCTTATTTGGTCTGGAGGCGCAGCTCCACTCTGAGGCCTTGGAGGTCCCACTTGCACATTCCAACCACTATTGATCTGGATGGGTCCCAGCACTCCCCCTCCTGAGTTTGTTAACAATCCAGTTTCATTTTGAGTTGGACCTTGCACCACATCATATGTCCGTCTCTTTGCCACAAACTAGATCTGTCATAAGTTATTTTTCATCCTCCATCCTACAAAAAAAAAAAAAATTTATTCTGCTCTTTGTTTATTATTAGTGTTTCTTCCAGCCAGCTCAGAATTATTCTTCCTGCTTGCTACATTCCCTTCATGTCTGCATAATATCCAAAATTATAAAAACACCAAATGGACTTCATGGGGCTGCTAGGTCACTGTCAACAAACTGTGAGTAAGGCATGTTAATCTAAGCCAGCACTGACAGGCTCTTGCTCTAAGTAAGGCGAGTTTCCATCAAGCGAAAGAAACAAAGTTCCAGTTCAAACAGTTCAAATCAAAAACTGCACCACAAGATCCATCATCTGCATACAGCTCTGAAAATCTTATTCTGTGCTTCTGTGTGTTTCAGAGTGGACCAGCTTCATGGTTTGTTTCTGCGGTTACCATGACGATGTGCGCAGCGCCTTGACAAATAAGGGAAGTTGATGATGAAGCACTCATATGCCAGAATTTCTCTCTCTGAACAGAAACAATAAAGTCTGAATGAATTCATGCACTCATTCACTAACTTGTGAACAAAAGCATGTGAGGATACATATTTATCATGTGTGTATATGTGTATGTGTGGTATCCCCATGTGCATGTTTTAGTTGATAAACCTGCAGAAGAGACAGTATTGTGGAAGGTCATTAAAGATCAGTAATAAAACTTTTACATAACACAGACCACCGTCTATTTGAGGATTTCACACATGCAAGGGTATCATCATAATCCAAAAATTCAAAACTTATTTCTGGTTTACAGTCTTTTAAGGTTAAGTCAGGTCTGATTCAGAATCTGTAAACATATTTAACATCAAATTCTGTGTACAGTTAAACCTTCAGGGAATAAATTAACACTAAGATGAGCAGCAGAGTTTTACCTGTAACCACACCCACCGGTGATGTCACAGTTTATGGAGTACACGTCTACATCAGTGCTGAAAGCTGAGAAGTTGAAGGACTGGTCTGCTGATATTTTATACCTTTTGTTATCTTCAACAAATCCCGCTAAACATTAGCCTAGCCATGGCTTATTTCTCTCTACACTGTTGCACCATGTTCCTTCATTACTATGAACATGGACACTAGTTTATTTTGAGTCAATCCCACACACACACCCTAAATACTGCCATAAAAAAGCCCTCAGATACTCGTGCGCACCAAATTAGTACCAAGTGCACGATTAAAAGCTACAGTGTGCAAATGTCTCAGAAAACTACTAATACATTTTTATTTAAAAAACAAACAAACAAACAAAACATATTTGTGACCTGTTATCAGGGTTATACATCATCAGGAGGATGAAATGGACTTGGAGCTGATTAGAGTAGGGAAGTCTGAAAGTACTGAGAGATGGAATGGAACTGCTGGTAAGGAAACGTATAATGAGCTTTATCCTTTTCGTCCACTGGAGGTCAGCAAAAGCAAGATTTTCAGCTGCTGTCAGGTTGTTCTTAACGTTTACTGTTTGTCAAACTTCAGAAATGAGACATTTTGAGTTTTCATTGTAATCAAACGATTTTTCTCAAATTTCTCACCAAAAGCAGTGTGCATTTATAATTTCATAAAACAGCTGAACAGCCTTTTTTCTGGAGTGTTTTGAAACCTGCATTTGTTTACATCAGCTTGGGGTCTTCTTCCCTTTAATTGGCACATTCCCGCCACCAACTGTGGATATGTGGGTGTGAAATAGAGGCACGTAAATGTGTGTCACCAAACCTCTGTGCTTAGAGAAGAATAGGAGGAAAAGGGTCAAAAACACTGCACGGTACCTTTAAACTTTATGCGATTTCCTTTTCAGTCATCTGCAAACAAAGTTGTCTTATCTGTTCAGCTGAAAGGAGAAAAAAAGTATTGGAAATATTTCATCTACCAGCTGGATTTTATTAGCAATACAGCCCCATAAAATCATCCAACAAATGCTAAGATATTGTAGAAATACTTAGGTCCAAGAGTGTGCATTGAATTTGATATTAACATGAATAACATATAAGATTTACATTTTCAATTACATGTATAAACATATCAGGAGCCAAATTAATGTGTTCAGTCCAAATCTGTTCCTATTGTTGTATCAAAGACTTACTGAATGTTTTAGCTCTGTAGAGTTTATGTGCACACTGTCACACACCTTCCTGATGTTTTCTAAACTACATATGCATAAATGAATTTTTTGCATCACAGAAGAGGTTTACATATACATGGCTATTAAATAAGTGAGTTGGATGTAAGGCAGCAATCACCAACTCTACTCAATCTACCTACAGTAACTTCAGTTTAAATATGTCACTGACTCCTAAAACAACAAATAACTGGAGAGAGAGAGAGAGAGAGAGAGAGAGAGAGAAAAAGACCTATGTGCCTGGCTATAACAGCTGTCAAAAAAGTGGAAATTAGCACCACTGATGACGAAAACGTGAAGAAAGAAGGAGAGGAAACCAAATGTGATGGTGGGTGAGAAAAAGCCGACTTTATAAAGCAAGTGGATGTTGGCCATTTTACAGCTCTCATACAAAAGGCTTACAAAAACACCACAGACACACACACACACACACACACGCACACACAAAGTGGATTCACGCCATCTGAAATAGTGGATGACAGGGGGTGACATGAAGGACAATGAATGATAAAAACAAAATATATTTTAAGGTGCTTTAACATTTGTTTTGTTGTCAGTGTTCATCCTTTGTGAAACACAAAATGAGAAAAAAAAAAAAAGATCATATTCACTGAGCATGACGAGCTAAGATGGAAATTGCAGATAATTCCAAATAGTATATAAACACATGAACAGTGACACACTACCTATTCACTCTGACAACAGGGTTAAAAGAAGCCACCAAAGTCAAGTGGAAAAACTTACACGACTGAAGCTTTTGATCAAATCCTGTCTCATCCTGTATCTGACTTAAATAAATTCAACATAACACAACATGACATCTGGTAATTCCAAATAGCCCATCAACTCTCATGTTATTCCTCAGTCTCAGCACTTATCTGGACAATGATACTTGACAATAAAATAACAATCCATTCAAATGTGAGTTTGCTGCTGTTAGAATGTGTTAAAAAGCAACATGTTTTTCCATCCTTCCTAAAATAATCTTATCACATAGTGTGACCAGCGTTTGCCCTCTAATAAATATAATACCTAAAAGGTTGTTAACCTTTTTGCATACACTTCCCACACTTGACCAATATCCCCAAAAAGCCCCAAATGTCACAGTAACGTCTAGTGTACAAAATCTGAAGTGAAATCTGAAATAAAACAAACACAAATTTGTGTTAAAATTTTGTTAAAGTGCATCAATTCTAGTGTGAAGATGAAGAACAAGTTGAAAATATTGGTGTTTTCTAATCTTATACTTATGTATACTAATGTATTAGGTTTAGACAGCAAGTAGAACAGTGTCAATAATATTTCTTCCACTTCCTCATTTGCAATGTTTGAAATAACTGCTTGATTATGAATCATAATATTCCTAAATTCTTACCAACCGATCAATACATTGGGTAACACATAACATTGATACATGCACAGTCTGTTCCACATGTAACTATGGGAAGGAACTCCTTTTACCTGACATACAACACAGTTCATACAACAGGCCTGCTGACAAAATACTGTTTGTGCAGCTCTCTATGCACCGAATGTCTGTGAATGTTTGTAATTGAACACTGAAATGAAATGTAACAAGTGTTTTAAAGTTACAGATACTGCCGGAAAATACAAGAAAAAGGTGATGGTGGTGATCTTACTGCCCTTAAACAGTTGAAACACAGAGAAAAGCATCACTGCCTTGCACTGTCCACTATCAATGAGCGTTTGCAAAGTTCCTTTAATGTCATTCCATCACTGTCAAAAGTTAAAGGTCACTGACTGGAGCACAAAGTTTGGGTTCTCCATGATAGAAAAATAAGGATAAAAAGATAACGTTTAAAAAAACAACATCATTTTATAGAAGTCTTCCATTAAAGATGGCTAGTTAGAGCTAAATGTTCTGTCTGTGTGAAGCTGATGAGCCACACATAACACTCAAACACATAAATGTGCGACAGGTCCCTGTGGACCACTGTTAGAGGGGGGCGGGGGCGGGGGGGTGGGGTCCTGCAGGTGCTGTGCCGAGCGGCGATGAACGTGTCACAGAAAGGGGCGGGGGCTGGGGCGGAGTCTGGAATCATCATTATAGCTGCTTCACGTAGTTTCCAGGGAAGGTTCCAAACAACTTGTTCCTTCGAGAGGTCCCTTCAGAGACAGAGAGAGATAGGGGGTGAGATGGACAGTGCTTTAAACGCTGGCTGATACCTGGCAGTAGCAGTAGCTGGCACTAACTCTATTCCGGCTCACTGCAGTCTGGAAATAAGGCCTCAATGAGTTGGAATCACACTCAAAATGAAACACTTGAAAACATTTTTACAGGGTAAAGTTTACTGTAGAAGAATGTAAAGGTTAGCATGACCAAGAGTCCCGGGGTTATCAAACTGAAACTGACAGTCATGTTAACAAATGTGTGGTGGGACCACACTGCCATCTAGTGGTCTCTGTGGATATCTGCAAAATACTTCTCTGTCAGAGCCAACTGCGCCCTCACCACAAACCCTGTAAATACACAGTATCAATTTGACCAGTGTACTTTACTGTAAATGTAGTTTCATTCATCATACTTAACACAACAATGCAAAAATACTCCATTACAAAGGCCCAAAGGCTTTTCAAATGTTACTTAACTGCATTAGTGTTATCAACCAAATATATTTGGTATCAAAAGATCCCATTCCATAGAAAAACAGCCTCTGTGGTTCATATATAATTACATGATACATTATTGATTGTTAATACTGATGCAACAATATAAGTAGCATTTCACCGTCACAGCTGGGTGAGGTGGAGCTACTTTTATCTACTTTATGTACAGTTTGAGTTCAGTTTGGTGGCTCAGGTAAATCTGAGGGGTTGTATGATAATTAAAGGCGTAGGGAAGAAAACAAAGTTAGGCTACACAAACCTAGTTTCATTTATTGGACCCTTCTCCATTCTTTGCTTTTCTTTTGAAATATTTTTACTTCTTTCCACTTCAAACATTTTCTCAATTTAAATAAAAAAATCTATGATGTTTGGTGGAACTGCTAACAACTGGCATTACAAGCACTCACGTACTGTAAAACTGTACAGTGCAGCACTTGAGTACTTTGTTACTGTTGTCTACCTCTGGTTATACGTTTATGTTTGCTTGCTGTGTTGTATTTGTGTCTTCCTATACATTTATTCTATGCACAGTGTGTAAGTACTGTATATTGACAGCTACAAATCCCTTGTATGTGTCATTTTCATTGCATCTGCGGCATCTTCTTGTTTATAGGAGACGTCTGCAGAAGAGACATTAATTTACGTACCTCCTCTCTGCAGGTCCGTCATGTATATGTTAGCACATTTTGATGTTCACAGTGAAGATAATGTTTTAAGATATGCAGTAGCAGTAACTGAAAGATTTTTCTGACAGGCAAAAAACAAGCCTCCATTTTTAATTAACAAGTCCAAGTTGATGTATTCCCTCCTCTTACCAACAAACCAGCCATCATCACACTTCTCCATCACGTCAACAATGTCTCCCTCCCTCAGCTCCAGCTCGTCCTCGTTGCGAGGCATGTAGTTGTACAGGGCCTGGTATCTGTGTTGGAAAAAACTGATTGTGAGCTGAGGTCCATGACTCTTTATCTACATACTTCACATCTGCTGAGAGGAAACTTTAAGGATAATCGTGGTATTAATGATTACAAATATCACTTACGGGTCTCCTCCACCATGGAGTGCATCCTGTACTAATCGCTGAGTCAGAGAGAGAGAGAGAAAGAGAGAAACACAAACAGACAGTAAATCAAACTGTGGCATTTGTGGAGCTGTAGTTTAGGATTTTAGTTTAGGGTTGAGGATTCTGAACAGAAACACTTGTGTGATGTTCTTACTCGTTCTACAATTTCTCCTTTTCTTACACTGTACTTAGAAAAACAACGTACTTCAGCATGCATGTTACAGAATATGTGATGATCAGTCATGAATGATATGGTTATCTCTGAATATTGCCTCCCTGCACAGAGACAAGAGTACAGCGAGAGCGTGGTTGAGTGAAGACATGCCCCCCTACCCTTCGACCTCTAATGGGTGACAGATAGGACCTCCGGGACAAGATGGGGCTACGAGGAGGTTTACCACCAACAACTGGATCCTGCTTAACAGGCAAAAAGACCAGAAGCAACACATCTATAATCTTCAACAGCAACCAAGTCAGCAACGTTTAACTATGAGCTGGACACACGCACTGAAGGCTAATGACATGCTGCAAAACATCATCCGGCAACACGATGATGCCAATGAAAATCCTCCTGGCCACACAGCACTATAACCAACACGAGCAACACACACTAATTCAAGAATATTCTCCGGCCAAAATTATCACAGAGCAGTTCATGTTAGTGTGCACTGAATGTTAGTGTACAAAACACATGGTAGTCTCAGTTAGGGTTGCAATTAATCATTATTTCAATATTGATAAATCTGTAAATATATTTTGATTAATTGTTTAGTTTATAAAAAGTCTGTAAAATACAAAAAAAATGCCCCTTACAGTTTCTCAGATAACGAAGGGTATTATCAGGTTTTTGTCACCAAAAATGTGATCAACATCAATGCCATCATCTCCACATTCTAGCTTTACCTTCACCTTGGAAGACCTATGTCCTGGATGGGGTACAGTGGGGGGAGTCGGGGGAGAGCGAGGAGTAGTGAGGGGAGGAGAGGCGGGTTCAGGCGGAGACAGGGTGGGAAAGGGACAAGGCGACTGTGAGTCGGGGCAGGATGCGAGCGGACGAGAAGGACAGGGAGAGCTTGATGGCTGAGAGACAGAGCGCTGTGGGAGAACGTTTGGAGAGGGGTGAGAGGAGTGGAGGGGAGGTGGTGAGGCAGGTGGAAGGGGAGAGACTGGAGGCAGGGGTGATGTTGTGAGGTGAGGAAGGGATGGGGGCCGAGGGGAGCAAGGGGGAGATGGAGGGGTGGTGTTAGGATCATGCTGTTGTGAGCGTGGGGAAGAAGATGAAGGAGAAGGAAAAGAAGAGGTAGAAGAAGAAGAAGCAGGGGGAGGTGTGGAGGTCAGAGGAGGTGGTATGCAGGGTGAGGAGAAGCCGGGGTGAGAAAGTCGTGTCAGGGTGGAAGGAGAGACATCAGCCTATGGAGGCAATGACAAACACATCAATAGTGAAGCTGAAACACATGACGCTAAATCCTTTAATGCTGTCATGGCTGTATTCAACTAAAGCCCAGAGAGAACGTGGAGGAAAAGATTTTAGACGGAAAATTAAATAAACACACACACTCAGATATATATACACTATAAGAAAAAAAAATCATAGTGTGTGATATTTAAAAATGAAATAAAATATCACAGTTGTACAGTATGACTTGAACAAAGTTTTCTTGCCTGTTAATCAATAACCATCTATAGCAATAAATCAAGCTAACTAGTGTTTTCATTAATCTTCTGAACAAAATTAGTAATCACTGCTCTCAGTACTTAACCATTTAACTTAACTATATTAAAAACCCTTAACATTATCTGTTGACCCACTTTTATGTACAAATCCTACTCACTAGCTGCTCACTAAAGAGTTTCACTCTGCTCGAAGTCACTCTCACTGCTGTGGATGGGGGCCCCCAAAAAACTAAAAAAACCACAACCACCTATAACCAAAATTATTTTCCTCCATGTCCCTCAGCAGATGCAGCTCACACCATGCTCTACCTGTGGACTGAGTCTTTCATTAAAAACTCTAACATCTTCCTCTTTCTCTTCTAAAGCTTCATCCTCTTCCTCAATGAACAACTCAGTATATCCCTTCCCCTTAACCGACGGTGGCCTTTGAAACTCGACTGGTTCATCATCATTCAGAGTCTTTGGCTGCTCTCCCCAGGAGACGGACAGCGGCTCCATCGTCACAGGCTTGTGAAATAGCACCTCTAGCCGAACGCTGCCTGCTGGTTCGCTGGCTGGAGTGACAGCTTGGGGTTTCCCAGCTGGCTGATGGGATTCGTTGTCTTTTAGCTTAAACCTGCTCTGGGATTCATTGGTTGGTGTAGCTGGTGGGGAATCTATCGGAGACAATCTTGAAAAGTCAACATTGTCTTTACTGGTAGAACCATCCAGGATCATAGACAACAGCTCGTCATAAGGGTCTTTTACTCGCAGCTCAATGTCGGGGGATTTGCTGCTTTTGTTTACTGGTGCAGTGGACTTGTGCCACTGTGGAGTTTGTGTGAGTGGTTTTATTGGCTCGGGTCCTGCTGTGCAGGACAAAACCTCTGGCTTAGCAATGCGCAACATTTGGGCTGTTTCAGTGAAACCCTTGCTGCTGTTGTATCGCAGAGAAGAGTCAGGCGGTGGAGAGGTGAGTGACACATGAGGGGCAGGAGGAGGTGGAGAAGAAGGAGGAGGAGGAAGAGGAGGAGGAGGTTGGGAGAAAGGCAGAGCAGCTGGAGTGTGACCTAAACTGAGCCTTCCTTCTTTAAAAGGTGGCGTTCTGTGGAAGAGCGAAGCTTCTTTGTGTTGGTGCAGGTGAAGGAGAAGGTGACGGTGAGGGTGTCTTAGGCTCCGGAGCCTTTTGGAAAAGTGTGAGGTCAGGTGGAAGAGGGGGAGGAGTGGGCGGTACAGGGGTGGTGGTGAAGGAGTGAGCTGGAGTGGACGCTGATGGGACCATTGTGAGGGAAAGCCACTCGTCGGTGATTGCTTGCAGGTCAAGCCTTCTCAACGAGGGGTGAGGGGAGGGGAGGTCATGGGTGGTAGAGGATGGAGGTAGATGGTAGAAAGGCTCCATGAAGATAAAGTGAAGAGGAAGGAACAGAGTGTGATTTGTCAAACTTTCACAGAGAGGTACAGTGTGTGTTTTGTGTGTGTGTTTGACAGACTATTAATACTGTTTTTACTCCTTTATGCAGATGATGCATTTACTTATTAACTTAATACACATAAATAATTTTGCTTGACTTTTTTTTAAACCACAATTTACTTTTTCAGGATGAAAAACGTTTGTTTGATTTATACTGTTGGTTACAAACACTACTATTCAATATACAAAATAACCTAAAATTATTTCTTGTGTTTTTTTAGTGTTTTTCTTGTTTTAAATGTAAAACAAATTGCTAATTATAAATCTGTAACTCTTTTGTATTAGTTTATTGTATTGTATTGTGCTGTTACCACATTGTAGTGATTGCCCTACCTTGATGGGTGTGCTGCTTGGTGTCCTGTTGCCAGGGTGAACATGTGGATCTATGTGGTGGGCGGAGCTCTTGGACGGGGAGCGCTTGACGATGTCAACATAGGACACAGGAAAGATGCCCTGTTTGGTTGTGTCTGGGATCTTCCCCTCGTACCAGTTCTGATCCACCTGTCTTATCAAAATCACTCTCTCTCCCTACACACAACACACACACACGCATACACATGCTTTTTAACTGGAGTTATGACAATCACACTATCACAATCGATTAAATTGTTTATTTTGTTCCACAGTACAAAATCCAAAGACATCCAATTATCTATTATAGAAGACTAAGACCAAAACCAGCAACAATTCCCATTTGAGAATCTCAAACCACTCGCTTAAAAATAACTTCAACAATGAATAAATTATCAAAACTGTTTCCAATTAATTTTCTCTCAATTGATTAATTAATCAACCATTTCAGCTCTAGATACAGCACTGTTGTAACAAACTGAGGTCCACAGTAATACCTCTATCCAAAATACTGCAAATATAAAAACATCCTACGGCGGAAACCGTATAATTCCTGGTTTTCATGTTTTATTCATGTTTCATGTTCGATTGAGAGACTACACGCTAATCTATAACCTCAGAAAACAGTTTATACAACCTCTCAATACCAAAATTGTAGACAAGATTTTTACCCTATAATTAGGTATTTCCAGCATGTGAAAAGTCATGTTGCATGCTGCCATTTACGCATATGCACAAACAATACCTTTCTGAGAGACAACTCCACATTGGTGTCAGCATTGAAGTTGTAGCGTGCCACTGCCTCTCCGATCTCTCTGACATGTGCTGGCGGAGGAGGACGGATCGGCTGCTGCTTCTCTGTGGACGGCATCTTCTGTGTGTGCGTGAACATGGTGTAAACAAATGAGTGTATTCAATACATTTAGATACAAACAGAGAAATGGTGCACTCACACATATACAGGACCAACGTACAGATTCATGCATCAGTTGTGCATTTACCTCTACATACGATATGGGGAATATCCCCACCCGTCCACGGTGCTCTCCTTCATACCAGTTGTTGTCTATCTGCCTGATGATGTTCACTGCATCACCTTTTTTAAATGTCAGCTCCCTGTGACACAGTCATATCATTAAAGTATCTTTGCATGCATCTCTGATCTACTGCATGGGCATAAGGAAGATGTGAACTAAACAAGACACAAGCAGAGCTTATTTCATTAAACAGCATCAGCTACAGAATGTCAGCCTCTAAACAACAACAGAGTGAGATGCAGCACAGCAGAAATCAGCTCAACTCATGCACACATTTAAAAACTAAAAAATAAATCAGTTAAAGCCATCCAAGTGTAGCTGTAAGATCAATGACAATAAAGCTGTCTCAGAAAGCAAAAGAAACTTTACGCAAGAAATGCTTAACAATCTGAAACAATAACATTTAAAGCAGTGAGTCGAGATGTGTTGATGTGCTGTTAGACATTCATGCAGAAAAGCTGTCCTTTGTTGTGCGTGCGCTGAGAATTTCCTCTACTCACTTAGCTGTTTGTGCCTTAAAATCATAAATGGCTCTCGCGGGCTGTTTCTGATGGAGGAGAGAGAACAGAATAAGTTGTGTCATCTGTTTATGGGAGACCTAGGAGATGAGAGTGAGAGAAAAAAAGCCGGCAAGCATTACCAGGTATAACATGACATAAAGCTTCTTAATGTTTATGAGAATGAATTTGATTGTGCTGTGGTACTGTAAAACTGAAGACAAAAAAATATTAGCTTGTTGAGCTTTAATCTGAAATATTATTATGGAGCCAAACAATCATCATTCATTTACACCTTATTCAAGTGGACTCTAATATGTTACACAAGCACAAACTACATATTTATCCAGCTCGTGCTAATGCTGTACCTCTCTGTCAGGAGTAGGTCTTCTACTCTGGGGTGTGTGGCGTCCATCCATGGTGGAATAACTCCTTGAGACATCCTGGTCTGTGATTGGTAGAGACACATGACAAAGGTCACAGGAGTTACCATAGTAATTACAATCATGCCATGTGCATGCTCACAATACATGTTCTTTGGGAAGGTACTGAATGGTACAGTGATGACGCCATTCCAACAGGTAAATGAGGGAATGAAAGTGTTTTATTTCCATTTCATAGGAAAAACAAAATAAGTGGACTTATCCCACAATACGACACAAAGACACACATGCAGTCCTTCAAAATGAAACAAGGAGAATACAGCCCAAAAGAATTATGATTAAACCATTTACAAACATAAAAGCAAATGGCTTGAGGTAAAGAAAATGGTTGTGGGACAAGAAGATGGCTCCAGGAATCAACCTGCAAAACAGACAAATAATACAGCCAGGACAAAACTCAAATTAAAAACAGAGGAATATTCACATTTATATACTCCAGTAGGATGCCGTAAATTCTCAAATATTCATTTACCTCAATTGCAGAGAAAACCAGGTCGCTGCTGTTTTATAAGTACATTTCATTAATTGTTCGTATTTTGCCATTGTTTCATTCAGCATTAAGGTACTGTCACTCAAACTCAACATTTCCTGAACAGGCTTCAATTTAAAAGCCTTCCAGCAACTCAAATGACATAATCCTGCCATTTTCCTGGCAGACCACTGATGTGAAACATCAGCAGGACATTAACTTTGCACTGAATGGAAGAATCAAGTTCTACTTGAGAATTTATGGTAACCATGTCCCACTGAAGGCCATATGAATATATAAAAAGGCACAGTAATGGGTGTACTGACTGAACAACAAGGGGAATAGGGCAAGTGCAGGCAATACTGATGGAGACATTAAATGTATGTGGATGCATATTTTGATTATGTATGTACAGTATGCATGTATGTTTGTATAGAAAAAAAACGATGTGTAGGTATGACTGGCTACATGACAAAGTGTACATGCACATACTTAAGGTGTGATATGTGTACCATCTCCACCTGAATAACAGAGACCATTTCCATTGCCCTGCTCCTCTCCATATTCGTTATTGTTTGAGGTGTCCGAGTGGCGTCCGTAACAGGCACTGACTGGTGACTGTAGCTGTGGTGACTGTAGCTGTGGTGTGGAGGGATCCTCTCTGTATGAGGCGAACCCGGTGGGGCTTCCATCTGGGTACAAAGATGCAGAGGAGTGACCCCCGTGCCAGCACCCCCTCCTCCCCCGCAATGAGGAGCTTCGCTCAGGCACGTTAGGCAGCAGTTCGGCCAGTATTCTCCTCAGGATGCTATCATCAGGTGCCCTAGTGCCTCTGTGGCCTCTCTCTGCTTGAATGTGCTCATATATGTCTCTCAAGGCTGCATCTAGTGCTTCATAAATGGCCTGTTTGGACTTCGGTCTGCTACCTCGACCTCCGCCACCACTGATTCTTCTAGAGGTAGGTGGTGAGCCCTTTTTCCTGCGGAAAGGCACTGGGCTGACCAGGAAGGCCAGCTTGGACATCGCTTGCTGGGACTGTGAGCTCTGGATTTGGGAATTACCGTTACTGCTCTGCTGTGAAGGTCTCTGGTGCTCCTGCCGTGCTCGCTCTCTCTCATGGCGAAGCATGGTCGTGAAACGAGTATAAGAGGCCGGGCAGCGGCCTTTGCAGGTGCTGATGAGGTGCCGGTGTTGGTAGCCCTGGCTCTGGCCTAGATTTTGGTGACCAGGGTGGTGGTGGTGGTGGTGATGGTGGTGATGACGGAGGTGGTGGTGGTGGAGGGTGGAAGAGCCGTACAAGCTCTCAGAGGAGGTTAGTGAGCAATGGTCAAAGTCACTCTCACTGCAAAACGAGGAGCCCTCCACCTGGATGAAGTCACTGAGGTCTGAAGCAACAGCGTCTTGTTCGCTGTCAGAGTAGTCTGGGTTGGCTCGCGGGCCTTGAGGGACAGGAGGAGCAGGAAAGGACCGCCCATGGCCAGGCTCTGGTCCACGAGGTTGGCCCTCAGGCGGGCTACGAGGTCGATGCAAGTGATCCATGGTGTGAGGTACTGCTCCACTGTTGCCGTTGTTGTCTTCTTCTAATAAAGATTCTATGGAAAAACGCCGCTTTGGAAAACAGGGTGTACCACCACCACCACTGCTGGCTCGAGACGATGAGCCGCCTGGTGTGGTAGTGCCTGAGGGGACCTCACTATCACCCAAGTTGGGCATGGATTTGGACTTCTGAATAAGGCGCTCATATTCAGAAATGCGGTTTGGCACCATATCGCGTGGCACCTCCATGCCCCAAGAGGGTGTCCACGGAGAGAGGCGATGCCGATGCAGGTGAGGCTGGCGCTCCAGCTCCAGGATGCGTGCACGGACCGAGCGGATGACTTCAGATGGGATGAGCTGAGCTCTGTCAATCTGGTGCATTTTACGATAGAGCTGGAGAAAGCCCGGTGAATCGTGTGCCCGTCGCCGGTGGGGTCGTGGCAATGAGCGAGTGGAAGAGGATCCAGCTGAACCTGAGGGATTCCCATCACACACCAGTGACCCAGCACTTTCTGAGCGGGTGGCGTTGCGCGCACCTGAGCCAGAATGCCCATCATTGAGTAAGTCATCACAGCTGCGTGACTTCAGCTTGACAGGGGAGCGTGGCACCTCCTCCACACTGCTCCATCTCTCAGCATCTTGGCGTTTTGTCTGCCAACTGTTCTTACAACAGACAGACTGCTTGGAGGAGGAGCTGCCTTCCTGGCTGGCGTCCTCATCGCAATGGTCAGGGTCAGAGGGGACAGGGGGCAGATAGGGGCGCTGATAAGGACCTGGGGAGGTCAAACTGTTTGAATACATGTTGCATGCGTCCCCACCTTTCAGATGTCCGATAGAAAGCAGCGTGGTGAAAGAGAAGGAGGAAAGCACATTAAGCAATAATACCCAGCAAAAGAGATGGAGGAGCTGGGGAGAGGGAGAAGAATAAGAAGAGAAAATACAGTGGGGAAAAAAAGATGATTTGATGTTTTTTTCTTCAGACTTCCACCAACACCATTCAAGGAAACTTATGGCGACACCAGAGGGACATTATAGCATGAAAAACACAACAAATGACAACAAATCTTTCATTTTCTGGCAACGTGGTAAGTGTAGTTCACATACGTATATGACAGTCTGGGGAAAACAAGGGAAAAGAGAAAAATATAGAGAAAAAACATCAAGTGAGTGTTTGTATGTGTGTCTACCTTTGGCTCTGGAGGGTGAGGAAGGTGAGGAACGAACGACAGGTTTCTTTAGGCTGCTGCTGGGTCTGTAGGCATCCACTGGTTTAGGGGAAGTGGCAGCTCTGCTCTGAGACTGAGCATTCACTTGGGAACTTGACGGCTCTGACTTCCTTCTCTTCCTGTAGTCGCTGGCAGCACTGTAACGCAGTCAGACATTAACAGAAGTGCTTTCAGAACAGCATACACTGGTGAATGCAGTTTGCAATAGACCCATTGAATTCACACACCATAAATGTCATGCGGGTACATTGTATTTACTAAATTTCCTGCGTCATCGGGACTTACAAACCCAGTACAGACCAAAGTATAACAAGACTAGGACAAAACCTAGCATATGCTGGACTGCATTGTATATTCACTCTGCCTAGTGTCAGTAGCCCTGTATCTGTTTGCTTCTCTCCTCCTCTCTGTGCTTGCACATACAGTATTTTAATTCAGCCAAATTCCCAGTAAAGCTGTTCTCATTTACAGGTTTTTCTGTGTCTAGTTAGGAAATAGTGCCTGACACATATCCCATTTAGACTACATGTTAACTAGCAGTCATTTCCCAGCCATTTCCAAGCTCCTGCTCTGAATTGCTAAAATCCTGATTCTATAACCATGTCCGGAAAGCCCGACCTTGCATTCGCGGGGCTATACTATGCTATACTGGCAACCGTCTTCTATGGAAGGGAGCGAAGGATTGTCCAAGTAACTAAATATATCACTAGATGATTTTTGGACAGAATTCCCAAAGGGAGACACCAGAGTTACCGCAACTTTTCTTATTCAAAATGTCAAAAAAACAGTGGGTTTTCTATTCAGAACAAACAGGCTGAATGTCACTTCCATGAATTAAATGGCCTATTCATCACATCCCATTTCTGCCCTTTCTTTTCACCGAGGAAAATGGGACTGAATAAGCAGGCCATTGATGAAAGGGAGCAGGATGAGAGGAGGAAGAGGGGGGGTTGAGGGAAGGATAGGAGGTGAAGGGCAGAATCAATAGATGTGCTGGGTTAATTTATTCTGGCTCAGAGAGAGGGAGTTGCAAAGTACCCTGCCTTTAGTGACAAAAGCAAATAAAGACTAACACTAATCCTTGCAAACCATCACTAATAGCAGCCACAGAGGCTATTTGCACCGGAGACGGGGCAAGAAAGCGCACAGTTTTGATTCTGTGCTGAATCACAACAAGGGCCACTGCTGTGGAGAGGGTGGGGGAGGGGGATGAGGGTGATGCAGAGGAAAATAAAAGAAACAGAGGTTACCTCGCAGGTCTCTCCGGAGCCTTGTCAGCAGGAGCGATGGGCAGGGATGTCTGAAATAGGGCAGACAACAAAAGAGAAAAGTGAGCTCCGCAAGAACAAAGACTCGAGGCAGAGCAGCTCACAATGCACAGCCTGCATGCGGTTGTTGCTGTGCTACACTCAAAACACTCCCCCAGCGTAAGGTGCGATGGATGCTGGTTCCACATGGCACACCTGACTGCGAAGAGGCCTACCGGTGTAAATGCTGAAGATAAATTTCTGCTCTCTCTCTGGCTGCTCTGGAGGATGATGGTAAAGGTGATACAGCAAATGATATTATGAGCGGAGCTCAGGGGGCAAATGTTGCCCTGCAAAACCTGGCATGGATCAGCTGGAATGAGTCTTAGTGGTAAAGAATGTTCGATGCCCTTTAAAGGCAAAGGTCTGCCGGAGGAAATGCTAACCATCAAATCACACAGTAGCGTTGAAAACGTTACGACAGAAAAAGATTTCCAGTACATTATGTTTTGAGCTAAAAAAATCTAGACCATAATATTTTCTTTCTGCACAGTTTAACGAGCAGGTCTCCATACAAGTCCAAGCAAAAAACATGGATAGCATTTCAAAGCTACATGTTCAACAGCCTTCACAAAACAACAGCACACTCATCTTGCAGTGGATGGCTGGACACTCACTTTAAGCAATAATAAGTTACATTTTGCTGAACAATATAAATTTTGATTCCTATCTTTGGTTAGAAATTGTGAGATTAAAAAAACGATTGTAACACTCATGAATGTGAGATTACCTCAATGTGCTGGCGAGCGGAGATGTCTGGATTATAATCCAGCCGTTTTTTAGGAGGCTTGAGCCCCAAGCAGCAGCAGTGAGCAGGAAGAGGAGGAGGAGAGGAGGAGGAATAGGAGGAAGGTGAAGATGAGGTGAAGGAGGAGAAGCAGTGGTGACATCATGGGGAGAAAGCAAAAAAACAAAACAAGAAACATGTGGAGAGAGTGACACCCGTTAGAGAATCTGAGTAACCAGAGATTGACTAGTTCACAAAGGTTGCACATGTGATTTGCAGGTACAATGCACACATGTGCACACAATCTATACGCACCAACACGCTTTCACTTACAAACACAAGCACACACCTGCACATCAACACGCGCGTTCATATGCACATTCTAACACCTTCTGTCAGTGCTTTATTTCTACACTAATCTCAAATGTTCAACATTATACTACAGTGTAAGGATGCCAAAATAAATAAGGCCTACTACATCACCCTTTATACCACACACAAATAAACACACACACAGAAATGTGCCCGTGTACCACACACACATGCAGAGTGTGACAGCAAGCTGTAAAGCAGAAAGCCAAGTGAAGCACAAGCTGCAGTGTTGTGTTTATTTGAGAGAGCAATGAATTGCACTCTCAAATGCTGTGATTTAGTGCTGGTTTACTAGTGCAGATGAACTACTATTCACTCAGTCGGTCAAAACGTGTGACTTGTCACCTCAATAAACACTCAAACACGGAACATACTGTGAGATTCTGTCCCTGCTGGACCAGGCAGTGCATGGAGGGAATCCATCTACACTCTAAAGGCTTATTCAGTGCTGTGAAACATTCAGAATATTGCAGGTAGAAATCTCAACACACAGCCCAACATGACTCTGGAAGACACAAAGTCATGCCAGCTCCACATGTGACATTTGCACCTGAACATTTCGAATAAGCCCAGTCATCACCTTGCGTCATGCTCTGGCATGAACAGAGGCATGTCCTCATGACACTTTGTAAATCAGCCAGGTTGGGGTAATTTGATCCCAGATCTGCGGCTAGAGGCAATCCCTGCCCTGAGCCACCAGGACGTTATTACCACTCACATCCAGCAGAGGGCACTAAAGCCATTCAGCTTGTAGATATACAGAGCATTCCCCCATACTTCCGAATATGAAGATAAACAAAATACTAGCAGGAAATGATCACATGAATGACAGACTAAATAAAAATCTGATTAATTGATACACAGATTAGCATGTGCAAACGATGCTGAATAAACTGCACAGACTTCGATTGTTAATCAGAACAAAAGGATAATATTCATCAATAGGAAACTCATCTACTGCTTATTTATTAATGTTGACTGATTGGTCAGTGCAGTTCTACCAGCCAAAAATCAGGTCATTTAAAGCATCTGGAGCACGCAGCTTTTTAACCTACTGTATTTCCCTGCTAATTTGGGGGCAAAAATCGATGCAATGAACCAACTTAAATAAAAATGTCCAGGTTTGCGTGTGAACTTTTCAGTGCCTGCTAGCCACCAGACCAAAAAACCCAGCAACGCAAAGACATAACACAGCCTGTCACAAGGGTGGGGGAAGGGGGAGGGGGTCACAGCACCCAACAAGTACCACATGCCCAAACAACTAACCCCACCCAGTCTATTGGTGGAGACATATATACATAAAAAAAAAAAATCCTGGGTGGGGTGGACGAAGTGGGTGTATGCCTATGGCAGGATTGTGGTTGAGGGAGTAGCTATGGCCCTGACTTACCGGCCGCCCAAACTCCAGCTCGGAAAAGAACTTATACCAAGGCTCGTTCTCTAAATCTATGTCATCATAGGTCTGGGAAAGCACGACAGTGACAGAGAGAGGAGACAGAAGAAAAGACAGAGGACAGCAAGTGTGGAAAGAAGTCACACACACAAAGAGAGACATGGACCTCATGGTTAGGAATGGGCAAAGGTGGCACAGGGAGATGGGCACAGGATGAATCAGAATGAAGATTTAGACTGGCTAATGGGGACAAAAGTGATGATGCAAAACCCATTTACTACTGACAAATACTAATGAGAAATTTTTGGTTGGATGGTAATTTGAAAACTTTAGAAATGCAAACTAGAGTCTGTATTAGGCAGTGTACAATAGCGCTATATCATCATAAAATAATTGAACTTGCATATGCCAAATAATCTAATATGCACAGTCACTTGCCACTCTTGGACTGAAGAGACACACAATTTATACGCCTTGGCTCTTTTGAATTGATATTCATTAATTTCACATGCATAAAAAAATGACAAGGCCGCTGATTCCAGGACAGAATCCCATTACTGCTGCCTTGCACAGGTGACTGCATGTTACTTTGAACATTACATATTCAACACCAAACCTTATTACCCACACCTCTGTGCAGGCTCAGTGGATGGCACACTAAACACTGTATTTCAGAGTGGCAGCGAAAAGATAATTTTTTTTTTACTAGGTGAGCCCATTATATTTAAGAAGAGGAAGAAGGGGCACATCTCATAGAAGTGCCAGGAGAAGACATTCGGGGTTATTCACATGAGGTTAGGTTTCACTTCTACATTGGTTGCAGCAGCATTGTATCACAGTCAGCCAGCCGACTGATCCAACGGCCTCACACTGCTGCAGTGTAACATATTTTCTTAATCATAACATGAACAACATTATCAGACTCAACATACTATGTTTTTTGATCTGTTGTGTACTTCTGTCACTTAGAGAACAGGTAAAACATCAAGCAACGACAGCATGAAAAATAACTAAACTGTCAGTTAGCAGGTCATATTTCTCAATAGGAAAATTACTGTATTTTTTTTTTCTTAAATCCACATCGTGTCTCATAAGGGCAGACGTACAAATATTTCTTTTGGAGTTAAGAACTGGTATGATAAGGCATCCAAGGCTGAAAAAATGCCCTGCAGTTAACTATAGACAAACTGCCTTAAGGAAGCAGAAGTTCATCTCTGCTAATGTCACGTGAGGGATTCCAACACCCAGCTCTTTCTTTGTCTCACAGAGAGAACAATTTTCATATCAAATCAACCAGCAATAAATTATAGGTATTTACATCCAGTGAAACAGGCAGGTAAGCCAAAACAGTGGTTACTGCTGTGCAGCAAGTTAATCATCTACTCATTTCTTGTTTAAACTTCGACAAGCACAGCTTTCTCTATTTGTTTCCATTTGCACACTTCGGCGTGCACTACAGACGAGAGTTTTATTCTTACTCTTATTTTAACTGGAGAGATGATGCAGTGCTTCACTACTCTGTCTGCTCTTTCTAACCCCCGTCCCCACATGGAGACTGAATTTTTCATGCCAAATGAAACACTGCCAGGAGATGTTATGTAGGTGTTTTAGTGTTACATCTCTCTTGCTAAAAAGAGAATTTAGCTTTGAGACAAATGAGTCATCCAGTAAAAAAAAAAAAAAAGAAAAGTGAGGCCTGCAGCATAGACTGCCAGTCACACAACTGCTGTATATACACACAGAAAAAAGAAGAAGCTAAAGAAAACTGATTGTCTCTTGTTTCCTATGGCTCATAATTGCCCAAATGGACACCACCATAAAGGTTGGTTTGTCAGTTGCCATTTCTTACCTTGGAGAGTGGAGAAAAAACGACAACATAAGAAATCTCAGACGGCAGATTAGCCAGCGTGGGTTCACTTCTACTTCCTACAGCTTTCTCCTTTTATTGCCTCTGTCTATCAGGGGCTGACTCATGCATTATTGCCCTGAGAGCACTCTCTGCAGTCATCACATTAAACATCTGTGAAACCTTTACAAAAAGCTTTTCTTTTTACTGTTCTGCCTCATCTAGAACGCATTCTCCATTATCCTGTCCTTCTCTCAGATACCTCATGTCTGTTATTGCTGCCCTCCCTCTACACAGTAATTATCTCTGCTGTCTGCTTTGTCATTCACCCCGCAGAGTGAACAGCCAGTACAGTACAGTCCCTGGAGGATGTGGCACTGGGAACCTTTGCTTTTTAATGCCTACACTGTCTCTGATAGAAACAAGTCTGCAAAAAAAACATATTATTAACGCAGTCATGTCTACAAAGATTACAGTAACCAGTTAGGAAGGTAAATGTATCTCTGTGACTCCTCTCAATTCTTTGTAGCTCCATCTCAGCCGTGTTATTTCCCTTCAAGTTGCTTAATGTTTAGTTGTTCGCCTCTTCAGAAATAGACATTTTCAGAACAAGAGAATTAATCTTTTACAAGTGTTATTATATAAAAAAAAACAAAAAAACATCAGTTATTTGAATATTCCTCCAAGACATTGGTGTGAAGCCAGCTAGGGACGCAAATATAAAGTCTTCTTAATGTTATATAAAATCATTTTTACAGCCCGAGCTGGATCAAGATTTAGTTCCTACAGGCCTCACAGGTTAATCAAACATGAAGGAAGGCAGTAAAGTGATAATGACTAGCGATCTTTTACTGGATTCTGACAGTAAAATTATTAGAATTCATTATAATCAAGTGAAAGAACATATTTTAAACACACTCACTGGTCTTTCGTGCTCCAGAATAGAGGACTTCCCAGGCTCGTATTCAAAAATACTCTTAGGCTCTGCGCGGTACTTTCGTGTGTCCACTTTCCTGTCGGGGGGACCCCATTCATTCCTGGTGCAAGAAAAACACGACACAAGCAGAAACAATCTTAGTTAAATTTCTAATCTGAATTGTTTATAATCATTTGCCACAGAATAATGTGAATTATAAGGTTAAAAGTACATGATGAATGAATACAAATATAATTAATTCACATTTATAGGTTTCAGAGAGCCATTTAAATTTTGTATTTGATTGATTAAAGATGACATGATGACATAAAAGAGATAAGCTCCTCCTACATGTCTGGGGAGTCCTTTTCGCGTTCGCTATCTCTGGCCCTCAGCTGCAGGAGGGATGGCATGGGTGGAGGTGGTGGGGGTACAGGGGACGGGGAAGGCTCCCGAGGCCCCAGGTGCCCTCCGTTGTCTGAGGGGCTCTTGGATAGTGGCCTGTACGTATGTGTGCGGGGAGCTGGGTGGGCCATGGTGGCGGTGGACGACAGGCTGTAGTCGTCTGCTAAGGACAGGACAGGAGGGGAGGTCATAAGGTAGAGCGAGCCAGAGAGGAGGAGACAAATGTTACTGTATGAAACTTTTGTTACACATGAAGCAGGTCTCACCGTTGTTTATGACAGCATATGTTGCATTGTATGTGTCAGAATAGTCATCATCTGTGGAAGAAAGGAACAAAAGCTGATTGGGATACATGCACAGACATACTGTATGGTACATAGCTGTGTAGTTTCCTCCTCAGGGAGAACAGCAGCTTCAGTCAGCTTAAATAAAGTCAGTTACAAAGTAATTTCCAATAGCAACCATTTTTCACAGTGGAAAGTATCAAAACCACCCAGGCAGCACAATCCACTTCTCCTCTGCCCATCCACAAGCTCAGCTGCTTTCAAACAACTGTTTTTCTATTATGTCGTTTTTTGAGCTTTAAGATGGGAGATCGTACTCCACAGAAGCAGCGTCTGCATCTAACCAAAGCTGCTGTTGTCTGCAAACAAAAGAAACTACACACCTTTAGAAAGACCTTTCAGTACTACAGTACGAATGACAGAATTTGTGTGGGACTGAAGTATTGCTTTATAAATCCACTAGACGATGTGAATATTCAGGGAGCTTCGGGAATTCTGAGACGCATCAAAGAGACCATCACAAGCCTGTGGATGTTTTTGAGGCACACATCGTCATGAAATAGTCTCTCTATGTGAGAGTGTGCGTGTGTTTGTGTGTGCGCTGCAGTAGAAGCAGCCTGAGCAGCTTAGAACAAACAAGCCTTGTACTGACTGTGTGATTCTGTCAAGGCCACAAAATTAGAGCAGATTTCCCAGGACAGCTCTGTGTCTATTAGAGGTTTCTCTCAATAACCTCCTCCTCTCCAGACTCTCTTGCTCGCATCTAATGAGTTCTGGCTCTGAGGTTCTTCGGGGTCTTTCAGTTTAACAAGAACCAGTATGCTAAGACTCACACAGATACACACAGATACACACACGCGTACAAGCAGCATGCATGCATGACGAGTTCCACTCATAATGTGACAATCAAATCACATCAAATAATGAGCCATTTCTGCCTTTCACTGATTCGGTGGAGACTTACCTGCTTTGTGAACCTTGTGGATCTGTTTGAACATAGTTTTATACCAATCCTTAGGCCTATCCACCGTCTGGGGAGAGAGAAATAATCATAAAGATTTGTGTGCCATGAAAATGCAGCATGAAACTGGATAACTTAAGTCAGAAACTGGAAAGGGTTCCCACTGTTTTATAGAACATTACTGAGCAGAGAAAAAACACACTATCAGCCTTTCTAGACATCCATATTTCACCCAAAGAGAAATTATGCTGAGACGTGAATAAATTCTTTACAAAGCTTCATTTATTGCACAACACACTGTATATTGTGTTTTTAGGAAATGTCGATCAAGCTTGTTCAGTGAAAGACTTTAGGATGACATGAGGATGACTACATCCTCTTTTTCTGATCAAAGATACATAATTGTATCAAGAATCATTTTCACCACACGACAAGTCTGAAAGGTGGCTTGCATGGTTCTCTCACACATATCCTAGTAAAATTTAGTTCTAATCCTGCATCTTCTTGTTATATGCTGAATATACGTATGTTCAAAAAGTCATTTTCAAGTACTTTTATATCAAACATTTTTGCTAGTGAAAATATAGTGAAATATAACAGTCATCTGGAACTCAGGATAGAACATATAACTTTACATAATCAACCCAGTTATTCATCATATAAAATCACATTTGACCGTTAACTCATGTATTGTAGTAACTCACGCAGCCAAATTAAAGTAGGATATGTGTTTGGATATCAGTTGGCAAAACACAAGAATGGATGATAGAATCCTAATTTCTCCCTCATCCTCCTCGTTCTGATCACACAGTGCAGGTGAAGTAGTTTGTGGGTGGAGGCCTCTCCGTGTCCCTCTCTTCCTATGGCTCCCTCATGGTCCACATCGTCGACTAATGATTTGATTTAAATCTCCCTCATGATTATGCCTCACCTGAGAATTTGTTCTCTTGACTTGAAGAGAAATATAGATGTTAATTATGTTTAATTGATGCCATTTTTTTTCTTATTATTTGACTTGTTTTTTTATGCTCTTCAGTGAGTTAATGACATTTTCTCTGCTTTCTAACAACAAAGAAGTGAAACAACACAGAATGCTTCCTCATCATTCTCATAATTTGAATATTGCAAATTTAACTTTTAAACATTCTCAGCATATACAATGCCATAATATCCAAACATATAACCACATAGCCCTGAAAAAAAACAACAACGATGCCATCAGTCACTTGTTCAACTACTACGGCAGTCTGTTTTCATATGAATGTGTGTGATGTGATCGTGCCTCCTCTCAGAAATCAATTCCAGCAGATTTGGTTTCATAGCGTAGAGGAAGCTGTGTTGCTACAAAAACAAAAAGTTTGACGCTCTGGTTCTGTGCCTGGAAAATCCTGGAGAAACCCTGGTATGTGTGTCTTTGTGTATACAGTATAGATCTAATAGCCACTTCAAAAAAGAGCTATCAAATGGCAGAGAGACTTAATCCGCTCTTTATTCAGTAGCACTAAACAGTGTCTGGATTCTGGTCAGAGAAGAGGTATTTTGCTTCCACAGTGAAGGAGTGTGTGTGACTGTGCATGTACCACTGGCACAGTCCAATTACCACTTCACTCTCCACGGTTACCAAACAGAGTGGCCACAAAAATGTTTGTCTGCTCACAATAAGGAGCATCTGTTTTTTTTCCCTTTCCTGCTTCTTTTCCCTTTTCACCTTTTCTCTTTGCTTTTATTGCCCATCTCTCATTCTTCCTGTTTGTCTTTCTCTCATCCTGTAGTTTAGCGTTTCTGCCTTTAAATGTCGCTCTACAAGAAATGGATAACCGAGTGAAGTGTTAATACATGAGCAGCCTTAACAGAGATAACACGGACACAAATGCACACACTTTGACAAGTAAGTATCAAGGACTTTGCAGCACTGAAGCAAAGACCTTGTCTGAGCTCTTTATAACTAGCACACAGAGGAGAGAGTAAAAGAGACACAGAGATAGTGTGAGTGAGAGAAAGGGCTTTTAATATTGGCTCAAAAGCTGCTGACAGCTGAAAGTATTCCCCTCTCATGAGCCTGATCGCATATCAAGACAACAGAAATGGGTCTAAAGACACCCCTCTGCTCCACTACAGCACCTAACTGAGTCAGTCTGCTGCTGCAAACCAATGTGTTTAGTTGTAGTGTGTGATTGACCTCACCGTGCGGATGGCGATAGGGATGCCGGACTCGTCCACGGGGCCGATGCCTTCATAATGAGGGGCTTTAATGACAGAAACCCTTTTTTCTTCTTCTGAGAAGCGGGCGATGGGCACGGTGCTGCTGACGCTGGTGTGGCCCGACACCACAGACTCCCTAGTGACACACTCGGTGCCCTCTAGATAGAAGAGGGAAGAGGAGAGACGAGAGAAAGGCTTGTCAGTTAGCCCTAAAAATAATCAGAAATATACCCTCCATGTTGAATTCTTCTGTCTTTTACTGATGGATAAAGATATTATATTTTGTAAACCTTACACAGCAAGTGACTGTAAATAAATCTATTTCCCTTAACTCTTCAATTAATATGGAACGATGATAAAATGAGATTTTACAAAATCATTTCCATGCCAACACTGAGATTAATTCACAAAGATCCCTTGAGTGGTGCTTAATAGATTTACACATTCTTGAAATTCTAAGCACTTTCAACTTCAGAGTAAAGCACATTAATATGACACAGAGGGAATAAAGTTTTATTTTTCTCAGGTAAAGGTAGAAGGTCTGGATTTAATTAGTTCTGTATTTGTTGTTTATTTGCAATGCAGTGTAATGACTTCACTAGTCATGCATTTGGATTATTTGAAGCATGTCTTATTGGTGAGAAGAGACAAAACAACAGTGACTCACCCGAGCTCCTGCTCTGTCTCGGGAGCCCAGTGTGGAGTGAGGCGGGGGGAGGAGGATAGGACGGAGGAGAGAGGGGTCTCTGTGGATGGCTAGCACTTCCATTCATAGCGTGAGAGAGGACCTGGCCCTAAGAGTGACCCACAAGCCAGAAACAGAGGCTGTAAGACTACCAATCACAAGTGGCAGCAAAATGTGCAATAGTGCACAACCTTGTAGATCTACTATAAAACTCTGAGTGTAAATGTAAAAAGAAGAAATAGTCATCTTATTGCTACAAACATTCATGAGGGTAGAGGAACCAGGTCTGATATTGGAATGGATGTACATGTAAGTCAGATATTGGATCTGACGTGATTCATAGGAAGTGCTGGATCTGAAGAGTTAGTTAGGGGAAGGGGCACTTATTGAATCACTTCGCTCTAAAACAGAACAACAGAGATTAAAACAGGAACGGTAAAACATGGACAACTCTTTCACATTCAGATACATTTCATTATAAATTAGTTGGAACATAAACAAGACAGCAGGCATGATGTAGTTATAATGGGAGGCTCTTCTGAAGAATGCTCTTCCATTCAACATGACACAGAGACATAGAATTTCATCTGGATAAAAACAATTTCAAGTTAAAGGCCTCCATGTTCAGATCAAAGATTCAAGACAGCTCAAAAACGCAACGCAGACACTTCAAAACAGATCAAATTCCAATAAAACAACAAGCGGACTAAGTTCTATTTCTGTCTTCTTTCTTGTTAACACTGGAGCATAGTGTAAAATGACAATGACAGTGAGTACATTACTGCTGCTGTTACTGTGATTACAATGCCACAACTGACAAATTCAAGCTGAGGATTTGAAGCGGAAACCACTGCAACATATTCTGGTTTCAGACCCCTGAATCACAGACTCTCGAATTCTACTGAATGTTTCCTAGTGTGAATGGATATTTTCCCAGGTTGAAAAAGCAACAAGGCCAATCTACACATTTGTAGGTGGGAGTGAGGCTGGGAACAGGAACTGTGGTAGAATAACGCCATGCACTGAAGATCTTTCTCACTTTAGCACATGGATGAAAGACCAAGTTGAAGAAGAGGTTTGGGTTGATGGCTGTGAGGCTTGGAGTAAACAGTGACTACGCAATGCAACTTTGATTGGCTCGATAGACACCAAGCTAATTACTTAGCTAAGAAGAAGACAATGTCAGACTAAATAGTGCAGTCCTAACAAAATCACAATTCAGTTTCAATGTCAGTTTTGTATAACTTGGAAGACAAGGTGCACATGCAAATTTATGCTATAATCTAGTCTAATCTTTGTCAAGGTCCAATAGATCTACACCCATATATATATATATATATATATATATATGATATAAAGTATAATATGACAGTAAACATAACTAGTTCAGTCCTCACACACGTTATGTTAAAAAACCCTCCAACTCCCAGTGGACCAGTTCAGTCTTTCAAGATGCGAACAACCTGCAGCCAACAGCTTCCAACAGGGTACTCCACCCTGCTGCAACCTCTCTGAAAAATGTCTGGTCATGAATTTTTGATATGAACTGGCCTGAAAAGACAGTGTAATTGCACTGGATTGCAAAGAAGGCATAACAAAGAGAAACATAGACAAGCACACATAGACACGGAGTTCTGATGAGGACAGAGACATTGACATAATAAGGGGACATAGTGAGCTGAATTTAATTCTGGTATCTGACAGGTAGGTTGCAGTTGATGGTTAGTGGAAGGTAAAACTTGGTAGTAATCACACTTCAGCCATCCAGGTTTGGTTCAGCCATCCAAAATCAGTTGGGGAAGGGAGGGGACCATTTGTTTTTTTGATAATGATGTGTGTTACAGCAGTGACTTGTTGGGATAATTACGTTAGTGACAGTGGCTGCTGCAGCAGTGGAGGCCACAGAGGTTGTTAGCACATCATCAGGGCCAGCAGTGGATGTGTAGGTAGAAACATGGCTGAGGGTGGGCGACGGTGTGGGTGAGGCGCCAGGTGAGTCCAGACTACAGATCTGCAGCTCGTCCAGCAGACCCGGCGTGGACGACGAGTAGTGGCTGAGAGCAGACACTGTGACTGGGGAAGCCGAGGGTGACATGCAGCCACCGATGCTCGCACCGCTGAATGTGGTAAAGCTCGGCCCGCTCAAAGCACCAGCTGTGCCGCCAGCTCCAATAGGAACGTACGGGGTGGGCGATAGGGTCTTGGGCATTAGGCCTGACAGGTAGTCGAGTGAGTCTGAGCTGTGGCTGTGGTAGTGGGAGCGCTGTGCTGAGGGGTCGGGGGACGGAGGCCCCTGGTGTTGGAGGGGAGAGGGAATTGATTGGAAAAGAAGGAAAGGAGGAGAGTGCTTAGTGATATCACTCATTAGCCACATTGTCACAAAGGATGTGTGGAAGCAACATGTGAGCCTAATAGAAGGTGAAAAGCTGACGGGAAACCACACTGAGGTGTCATGAGGCTGCGGCATCATCTTCTCAAACATGATAACTGCTGTGAATTGAAGATGCTCTGTTAGTTCAAACTCTGTGGAAGGCTGTAAAGTATATAGACAGTAACATTGGTATACATTAAATGAAACACTGTTATCACACATATGTAGAGTATGCACAGTTAGTTTGGTTGGATGCATGGCAGCACCAAGATTAACAAACTAAAAGGGCGACACACACAAGCAGAACATCACGTGCATCAAAACGCCTGCGTCTATTTCAAGGAACGCCTGCAGCAGAAAAACCTCTGTTCTCTGAATCTGGCACATCATGGCTACGTTACACCGGCTACTTCTGTTGGTATGGTGTGACCAGTGTGTCAAATGATGGGATGCAGCGGTGTGTTACCCTTTAATCACTCTTGTGTCAACAAGAGAAAAAACCCAGTGATGATGATTTTGCTCTGTTGTTACAGTATGTAGTCAGTTATGTACCAACAGTTCTGCAGGAGAAGGTCTTGGTGGAACTGCAGGAGGAGGCTTCGTCATCTCCACATGGGATGCAGCTGGACTTGGGTTTTGATTTGGGGCTTGATCTGGGAGCTTGAGTTCCACTGTGGGACTTGGAGGTTGAGGCTCTGGATTTTTCAGATTCTCGGCGCCCAAGTGGACAGAAATCGAGGCTGTCTGTGTTGGGGGCTGAGAGAGAGTGGGACCACTTTGTGGAGGTGGGAAAGTGGGCGGAGGGGAACTTGTGGTCTTGGTCTTAGGTTGGGGATCAAGGTAAGAATTGAGGTGAGCAGGAGGGTCAGGGATGGTGACTGGGGTTAGTTTGAGGGAAGACACTTTACGCTCCTGGACCTGGGCATTAGCAGTGGTAGATGCACTACAGTTGCTAATATCATTTGAGCTAGTGTGCTGGTGCGCCTTTTGCACTGAATTTCCACTGGTCTCTGAGAAGGAGTAAGAAGATGTGCTATTAATAGTGTAGGACTCTTTTAAAACTGCTCTCTCATTCTGAGTGAATGTTAGCATTCCAGGGCTAGAATCATTAGCCAGGGCTATGAGGGAGCTATAGTCTGGTGGGTTAGCGCCAGTGGGCGAGAAGTGATAACTGTCTCTCCTGGGGGGTGGCAATGGCAAGTGACTGATATCCTTATTTGCCAATTAGAAAGCAGCAGCCAAAACAAGTTCAAACAACAACAACGAAAAAATCATCAGTGAAAATCTTGATACAAATCATCAAATTAAATACTTGAAATAGAGAATGAAGAATAACCTTTTCCACCATTATGAAACAACGCCATCATTTTTGATTAAACTCTAAACAGCAGTAAAAACAATTCAACATGTGTCAAGTAGTGAGTGAGACATTCTACCTGTGTTGGTGACTTCTTGTCCTGCAGGTTGGGTCTGACACTGCGGAAGCCTTTGGCAGCAAGAGACGAGCTGCTGGCGTCTCCATTCTTAAGGCCATCTGTTACACTGCGGGACCGCCAAGAATCTGAAGATAATTTTAATCTAATTAACATCAACCACTACAGTGTGTTTGATTAACTTTTCTGGTCTCCTACGGGGTGTTTCACAACCTCTTTTGTCAAGTGCAATGTCAACAGTCTCCACCAAAATTCACCAACAGCAACAGAAACTTACCCAAGTCTGACGAGTGAGAATCACTCCCTGAGGAACAGAGAAGACATGACAAAAATAAATAACAGGAGTCAATGTGTGGTCACATTATCTCTGCAAATGTCAATACTGCAATAGGATTATATCTCAAGTAGTTACAAAATATACTGTCATCCCAAAAAATGCTTAAGATAATGTTTATTGTGACAAACAGAGACTTGATAATGGGGGTAAAGGAGTAGACACATCTGAAAAGACGAAACTGAAGAGGAAAAAGCACAGAACAGACAACATTTTTAATCCTGATTTTTATCCTGATGTGATGCACAATATCACCTGCTGTCATAACATTTTCGCATCCATGAGTACTCTGAGTACTGTAGTGAGAAGTTCGCAATCACTTGTAAGCAACTGCTGCGTCACCGGCTTTTACAACTAATAATTCTTCTCTTGTAGTTCACAGCTAGTCCACACAGAAATGAATGAATGTTTCCCTGTAAACTTTTGAGGATGGAAAACTACACTAATGCTTATGGTAAACTAACAAATAGGCGAGATTCAAGGTTCAAGATGATGTTGTCACAGACACCGCAGATCAGAAACTCACACAGCACTACCAGAGTGGGCACAGTGCAGATGGCTGATCTTTACGTGCGGTGCGTACAAATGTCCTCGGAGATCAGAGTTTTTGGCTCGATCATAGAAATGGGTGAGAAAACAAGAGTGCTGACTGCTTTCCATGCGCATCAGTTGTTGAAACATCACTTCACTCCCAAGATGAAGAAGGGACACGAGGAGAGTGATGTGAGCCCCATCATTGAACGTGACAATTAATGTCTGCACAGCAGAATGGTCACTGTGTGTTCTTGAGGGCTTTGGTTCATTTTTGTTCTGAATAAGAACCCACCCATGTCACTGAATCCAGGTGGCTGGTTAAGTTAGCTATCTCCAAGCAAAATAGACAACTGGTTTTAACAGTGGAGATGGTTAAGGCGGTGACCTCCGGCAGCGTTCCCTCACCTTCTTAAAACATCAAATTCAGGGACCTTTCAAGGACTTTCAAGGCCCAGTTCCCTCAAATTCAAGGACCTAACATGGCACAGTTTGATACACGGATCAAGGTTAATTACTGTTACACTATGAATTTTTATAAAGAGGACTAGCAGGCTGTACAGACACTCATAGACATCAATTAAAAAGACAGAATTATTTTTGCAGAGAATATATAAATCCAACCACTTTCAATGACCCATTTCTATATGTGTAATTTCATAAACTTTCAAGTATATCAAGGAACGGTGGGAACCCTGCTTCAGTCTGTAGTCTACAGTGTTGGGCCCTCTAAGCTCTTAAACCTGGTCTATCTGAGAGCAGCACATCAGCTTTCAGACGGTGTCCTACTGTTGTAAAAAGGAAGCTGACAGTGCCAGGATGCCTACATAGGTGCAGCTGTTAACCTGGGTGCTGACAAGGTGCAGGCACAGCACCAGGGAAAAAGAAAGTAGCTGGGAAAACTACACTAGCTGTAACCTCTAGAAGCCCAATAATACAGATTCAACTGTGCTCTGTAAAAAGCTTGTTGGTTATTCATCTTGACTTTAACTGTAAGTTCAAATTATTTTGTAAAGAGAATTTGGATGAAGAGGCTCATACATACAGCAGATCTACAGTGAGTTTGCTTGGGTAAAACCGAACCACTGATCAGGAAGAATTAAGCAGAATGCTGCCACTCTAGTGAACACACAGGCCTTTCCAAGTATAACATCTTAAGGTCAAGGGAGCTGTGTTATGTCTGACCAATCAATCCTGACAGAAGAGAAACAGTAACAGAAAAAAAGAAACAGAGCCAGGAAAAACAGTGATTAAAAAACACTTAGACAACAGGGAAAGTAGAATAAACGGCACATGAAGAGGGGGAGATGGTAAGAAGCAGGGGGGAGAGCATGACATATGACAGCTGTCAGAAGGAAGGAAGGAAGATTAATATCAACAACCGGTGGGTACAGTACCACTCTGGACTGATTTAGAAAGCAAAACAAGCCAAAGATGGAAGAGACTCAACGAAAGAAAATAAAAGAATTATACAATGAACTGATTCGAAAAGAATAGCATCTTGCAGTCCAAAACATTGCTTAAGCATACAGAGGCAGCCACAGACTATTTGAAAAGTATTTCAAATATGCCCAAAGCCATATCAGGTTGATGAAGCCCAAACATGAGTCTGAAAAACAACAAGCTACTTTTTTATTTTTATTTTTAAAAGACTTACCTCGGGCAGTTTAGCCGTGTCAGTTCCTTTAGTGGTCTGAATTTGACAAATTTAGTTCACTCTTCTTGTTTGAACATGTGTTAATTCGTTGTGTGTTTGTGAGTGTTAGTACCTGTGGCTAGATTTGGTGAGCTCTGGACCCTCTTCACGGGAGAGAGTATGAGTGACAAGGCCACGCTTTTGGGAGCGTATCCTCCGCTATCTGAGGAATCACAGCCAGGCAGGGTTGGATCAAAGAGGCAGAAGCAGCAGCGGCGGCAGCGGCAGCGGCAGCGGCAGCAGCAGCAGCAGCGGCAGCGGCAGCACACATGCACATGCATATGACACAAATGCAGGGCTACATGAGCACAAATGCATCCAGCCAAAGACATAACCCAAACAAGTGGCGGCAAAGCACATGCATTCAAAGAGCCTGAGTTTTACAGATTGGGTGGTAGCTCATAGAAAATGAGCCGAGGATTTGTGATGAAACTGATGCTCAGCCCAATGTTAAAAACTAAAGTTTGAAGTAAAAGCTTAAAGATGTTTCCGTCAGATATTGTATGATAAAACTGAAGATCCTAGATGCTTAGGTTTAAAAAAAATCATAAACAGTATAAGTGCTTGAGCAAGACTACCAACAACACTTAACATGAAGTACATTTGTTAATAGTGGAGAAGTCAAGTGTCAATTTGGTCAGTGTCAATTCATGTTTGAAACAGCTCCACCTGCCATCTAAACTGTAGTGAAATACCTTCAGTACAGTACAACAAGCTGCCACATATTTTCCCTCTTGCTTCCCATTGTCGTACCTATACTTACACAGGTAATTCTGAGGTGTGTGAAAAGCCGCTAACACTTAGATCAATTCTTTATAATTTAAACTATTGGATAATACAGGTTGTTTAAAATCTTTGAGTCTCCATCAAACTAATTTGTAATTCTGAGTTATTAGTAGGCTTTCAACCTTAGCAACACACTGAGCTATTTCTGTGTTCTATTGTATATTTCATATACAGACTAACAACCAGGTTGAGTAAAGCTAGCACTGGCGGTGGTGGTGTGTGGAGAAGGCTTGAATATGGATCACCCATCATTGATTCTCCGGCTGAAATAAACACTTCAGATCGGGACGACCGCCAGGTTGAGGACAGAGTTTTGGAAATGTATTGAAGGTTTAATGCGTCACTGTGGTTAAAAGCAACAACCTTACAATGCTCAATGATGCTTTTAGTCACAATAACTGTGGCCCAAAATGGACCGACACCAAAGTGGTGAAACAGGGTCAGGGTTAGAGTTACAGACTCATGCCTGTGGCAGAGGAAAAGAAGCACACATAGCAGCTTTTAAAATAGCGAGGTGGCCTGAAATGCCTGAACATATTGACTTTTTATTTTCAAGTATTATATGTAAACAATGGTTTTCAGGTCAGTGGATAAACAAATACTGACAATGTGATTATCAAACTTTGCCAAAAAAAAAAAAAAAAGAAAAAAGAAAAAAAAAGAAAGGACACGGACTGAAGGTGATGACTCCCCGACAATCTCACATAAGGTTTGTGTGTACATACCTGTATTCATATTGAAGAGCACTTCTTACTGATCCACTGCAGGGAGACACACTTTCCTGCAAAAACAAAAATTAAGTATTTCATAAAAAAAATAAATCACATACATTTTTTTACAGTGAAGGTTTTCAAGGACAGAGCAAACCATATAGTCTTTGCCAGTAATTTAGATTAACAAAATGTTTTATATTACATTTTTTGTATTAAATCTCAAATATTAGAAATATTTTGGAAAACTGACAGTTTCCTGCTGCCTACTGAGTCATTTGGTTTTCTTTGATTTAAACAGCACTGCTTAAAGAGCCAACATCTCTGTGCAGGGAGAGTCTGGAGAGATTAATGATGTTTAGGAGTACAAGTGCTATGTGCTGACATACTGCAAGTGACTGAAAGTCAGCTCAACTTTAGCTCCTTTCACACATTTCATCCCCCCCATCTTGAGAAAAACCGATAGGCTTGGGTGCAGACGTCCTGGACATGAAAAGCGAACTGATAAATGAACTTAATCATTAACTGAGTTCTGAACCACCATCCACATCTCGTAGTTGTTCAGTGATCTGTGTGAAGTGAACTGAAACGGTAATTCATTTTCATTATCAGGCTAAAGTGGCATAGACCTGTGACAGACCTCAGGTGCTTTTATTTCTTTTTGCCAAATGTGTGCAAGTGTTCTGTCAAAGACCTCCCAGTCGATATGTGCTTTCCCTTTCCTAAAAAACCTTACCCCTAACCGGTCATCTAACCACACCTAACCTTAGCCCCAACCCCATCCATGCAGGGGGGGGTGCTGCAAGAAACATCATCATTTCAATGAAAGGGAAACACTATTCAAGGGACAGACTCTTGAGCAGGATAGGAGGCTTAGAGAACAGATACATGGATACTATGGAATGGATATGAATGACCAGCAGACACTGATCAAACGGATTGGGAACGCCTGAGGAAGATTATGAGAGATTTATGAGTAATTGCTGCTAACAATGAGACACAGACTGACATGTAAAATGTTTGTCCTAAACAGAGATGTACTTCAGCTGCCTGCGATTTAGTGCAGCTGAAAAGAGTTCATAATATCTTCTCTTCCGAGTTGTGGAAGTGCTATATAGCAGGACTAAGGTCTGTCACTTACACACCTGGGCTGGGCAATTAATCAAATTTAATTTTCAATTACGATTTTGGCCTCCGAAGATTATAAAAACAAGATAATCACGAGAAAACGCTCATCGTGCTGCATTCTGTTTCTCAACAAATTTCCTCCCCCCAACAAAAACCATCCGGCGTTATTGGTTTTGCAATTGATACTTAAAAAATTAGGAAAAAATATATTTCATATTTGTTATTGCAACATAAAACTTCTCTTGCACGTTCACCAACTCCGTTTCTGATTAAGGTATTTGTCTATGATGCATCCCACGCTCAGATATCTTTAACTGTATCACGTATAACGGGAATAACTACTTCTGTTTTTTTCCTAAGTCAATGAGAAATCGTTGAATAATTGTGATCTCAATATTGTTCAAAATAATCGTGATTATGATTTTTGCCATAATCGAGGAGCCCTATTACACACTTTCCCTTTTACTTATGAATTACTATGCAGCACCATAAAAAAAAAAAAAAACAATTTAAATCAATACATACTGCCTGTCATGTTCAAAAAGATGTTTACGCCAAAGCCTAAACCCATGGAATCCAAATGTGGGAACATAATTTCTTCCATCTGAGTGAGAGGCTTAATGACCGTAGCAAATTCTTCAGATAGATGAAACATAAATAACAGAAATGGCACTGATAAATGACACAGAATGCCATGTTTACTTAACTGTACCCATATTTGATGCTTGTCTCATGCTATGTGGAGACCTTTTCTGGGAACTGTTGCAGTAGGTTTGAGTGATTTATATGAAGGGGGGGGGGGGGGGGGGGGCACATCAAAAGCCAAAGGCATAACACAGACTGTTGCATCGTTGTGTGAATACGTGCACAAGTGTCATCATGGGACTTGTGTGTATGACAGAAACTACATGTGACAGCCTACAGTGGCTACAGCAGGGATCATACATGTCTGGTATGTGAATAACCATGACATACACACGCTGTTAAAATCTTAGTGTAGATGGCTCCGGCACTATTTAATATAAAACATTATTACTGGGAGGATTTCAGTATCTTCATAACTGCAGATCTAATAAAGAGAAAAAGAGGAGGCACGGACAAAGTCACAAATATAATTGGTCAGTACACACTGTCTCAACCCAAATGGTGAAAATATAACTTGAGCTCCATTTGACCAAGATGTATTTTATCATTTTAATCCGGAAGAGAGAATGATAATCCGGCAATTCTTAATACTGTATAACAACATGTTTAGTTTTCAGAGAACAGGGTGAACACTTTATTGCACACCCACGCCAGGGATATTAACCGTAGAATACAATGCAAATTTTACCTTTCTGTTGTAAGCAAATCTGTGCAACTAGAGTTTGCACATCCAAATTAATCAGAGCGCTCTCTCACTGTCTATATTCAGGATAGGAGAAAAAAAAAATGCATAAAAGTTCCAGATAAACCTTCTTCAGTGTGTCAAGTAACTATACAGTTGAGTACAAAATTGATGTTACATTATATATAAAGTCTATGCACACATTTTATGTTTGCATATCATATTGTGTAATAATGTGAGTAATAAGCCCATAGCTGTTCATCTAAACAAACTGAAATTTTTCATTAAATATTTACTTCAACGCTATGACAACTTGTCACTGCACATTGACAAGTAAAGTCCTGATAATTGTGCTTATCTTTTACTGATGCTTATTTTGGAGAAGGTATGCAGCCATATTGTAACATGAATGTGTAAACTGGCTTGGCAGTTGGCTATAGTGATGAGTGGCACTAGATGGATGGTGTAACATTAACCCCATAACATTCCTGTAAAAATTTGCCTATCCATGATTGTACCTGCTGTTATGATTGGTTTGCCTCAATTGAATCACAGGAATATTAGCCTTTCAAAGATATGTCGCATGAGTACACACTTACACGTTGGAGTTACGCACATAGCACAGTCTAACATGCTGAAAATTTCACAGGCTCAATTCAGATGAGATGAGGGTAAACATCCAGATATCCGAGTGCCCATTTTTACATCTGATTAAGACTCATCATAAACTTTGTCCTCATGAAAAAATTATGACAATGAACACTGTTTGGTTGTGACAAGAAAACTTTTCTAATATAAATGGGATCCTGTAAAAATGACTTTTTCTCACTGTGGCAGCTCTGTATTTCCGCATGACAGAAGAGCAGCATTTCACAGCTTCAAGCCACAGTACGTCAACCGAGGCTTCTCATTAACACATGACACAGAAAGTGTTTCTGTTTCTGCATTTGGATCTCTCAGGCAAAACACAAAATACTGAGTTCAACTGGCACAACATTTCAATAAACTTGTGTTCTTAGCAACAAGTATCCCTTGTAAATACTGTATACAACCCTCCTAGAGTGACTATTATTAATAAAGCCTCATTTACCCAGACATACACCTATTTTGTTGCCAAATTGCAAAACACAGTTCATGCTGGTGAGGAGGAAGTACCATTACGTGAGGGACTACATCAAGCCACGCAGGACCTAGTCCTTACCCTCATACAGTATGCCCTCGTAAATCTATCTGTGAGAAACACACACACGCACTGGGGTAAATCATGGGTCTGGCGTCGCAGGCTGTCGGCGTCCAAATGATGGTCAGATTATAAACAGGATCATGTTTCTTGGGGACAGATCAGCGGCGACACAGCAGCTGTGGCCATGGTGTAATGTTATGGCTGGACATGGGAAGAAAATGCACCAGGCTCTACACCTCTGAAGACCTTAGACTATCTTTTCACATAAGACCTTTTTAAGCTTTTAAATACTGAATCAGATCATTAGCAGTGTATGCATTTCAGCATGCATATCACTGGCTAAGAGAGAGGCACCAAATGTTTCCATTAATATTCAGTGAGCACTTCTTCAAAAATAAGGATTAATGTAATACTTACAAGGGAAGTTGCAATCTTACAGTTTCTAATCTTAAGTGTCAATTCCCAGAATTTAATTCTGAATGAATATGAATGACTGACTAAATAAATAAATTGATGATAAACAAGAGACTTATTTTCTCAGAAGTTATTTTCAATTCTAGTCCTAGTTTCTTTGGCCAAAGCAGTTTCTTTCAAGACATTTTATATTCTTACTTTGCTGTGGTTTATCAACCGGCTGTAATTTAGGCATTGGTAGGCCACTCTGGAGACTAGTGTGTATAATTACTGAGTGTAATAGCTGTGGGACTGCAAATACACAAGTCAGAGCTATGAGCCACAGAAAGCCGTGAGGTCCAACACCACGAGCTCATCAAGTCTCATTAGCGTGTTGAGTGACCAACTGGGACCCATTTGGTTTGTATCAGTGGAGAAGTAGGGTTTGCACAGTGAACATTTAGAAACATAAGTCAGTGTAGTAGCTGTGATAGGACGCTCATCCTCCTGTGTTTATTGTTGATTTGAACTCATCATGGCAATGGCCAGTTCCCTCGCCTCGACGACACAGCAGAGTTTTAACATTGTTGACCTTGTAGACACAAATTCAACTCTGAAGACAATAGATGAATCACAGTGAGAATGTGGGAATTTTCATTTGTGATCTGTGTCTGAGTGTGCTATTTAAATTACCTCATAAAGTTAGAGTGGAGACTTTGATGACAAAGTTGAGCTTAATCAACACCACTAGAGACAGAGATTAAAGCAGATCAGAGAGTGGAAAGAACCACTATCTTTGCCCTTATTAACAAAAATATTTAATTTAGCGAGGTCCTTATACTAAAAGAAATGTGCTGATGAAAAACAAAAGAGAAAAAAAATAGAACATTTAGAACAACATAACCCAGACAGTATGATTATCAAAAGAAAGGAAACAAACAAAAGGAAGGAAAGAAAGAAAAAAACAAACATGTTCTCAAAGAGCACGGGCCGGGATGCCATTACTCACTGGCTGCCTGCCTTGGCATAGACAAAACAAG